ACAGAGAGGAGGAGAGACAGAGAGGAAGATCTTCCGTCTGATGATCCACTCTCCAAGTGAGCGCGACGTCCGGTGCTGTGCCGATCTGAACTAGGAGCCAGGAACCTCTTCCACGTATCCTACACAGGTGCAGGGTCCCAAGGCTTAGGGCCATCCTCTACTGCTTTCCCAGGCCACAGGTAGGGAGCGGGATGGGAAGCAAGGCCACTGGGATTAGAACCGGCGCCCATGTGGGATCCCGGCACATTCAAGGTGAGCACTTTTAGCCAGTAGGCCACTGCGCTGGGCCCCCCCAACTGACATCTTAATCAGCAGTTAAAATGCAAGTTGTATTTATTTATTTGAAAGTCTAGGTCATAGGGATATGTTCTATCTACTGGTTCATTTCCAAATGCTGGTCACAGCTAGGGCTAGGTCAGGTCAAATCCTGGAGCCAGGAGCCAGGAGCTCCATGCAGTTCTCCCACATGATGGTAGAGCCCTAAGCACTTAGGCCATTATTAGCAGGAAGCTGAGTCAGAAGTAAAACTAACCAGTGTCCTTGTTTGAGGCATTGCAGGTGGCTGCTTATCAGTACTGGGTCCTGGAGGTTTTTTTTTAATTGTTTAAGATTTTCCGTAGTGTGGTGGTTATCATGTTCACCTCACATATGAAAGGTCCCGGTTAGAAACCAGGTGGAAACACAGTCCTTTTGCCCATGGAGGAAAAGAATGGTGCCAGTGAGGGCGAGTAGTGAGACAAAAAAAATGAGGCCGTACCAGCCAGACTGCATACCATCCCAGTGAGACGCTGGCCATTATCCCAGCATACCTGCCTGCGGGGCTCTTAGGTCTAGAGTAGAGAAGATTTATTTTTCTTATTTGAAAGACAGAGTTTCAAAGACAAGGAAAGACAGAGATTCCATCTGCTGATTCACTCCCCAGATGCCCACAATGGCCAGAGGTGAGCTTATCTGAAGCTGAGAACTGTTAGCTTCTTCCAGTCTTCCATGGGTGCAGGGTCCCAAGGACCGGGTCAGCCTGTGATGCTTTCCCAGGCCGTCAGTGGAGAGCTGGATCAGAACGGAGCAGCTGGCACACGAACCGGAACCCCGATGGGATGCTGGTCGCACCACCTCTATGGAGCCCTTGTAGTTTTACTCTTATAGTATATGATTAATTTTCAGTTATTGAATGTGGCAGAAGGGACCTGATTTTGCTTATGGATATATGTTTTTCCAAGCTGTTTTGTTAAAAATTTATTCTTACCCATTAAATGACTTAGGATCTTTGCAGAAAAGCACTTGACCCTTAGGGCCGTCATTGTGGCGTAGCCTGTTAAGCTGCCAGCTGTAATCCTGGCATCCTACATGGACACCTCTTTGAGTCCTGGCTTCTCCACTTCCAGGCCAGCTCCCTGCTGATATGCCTAGGAAAGCAGCCGAATGTGGCTTAAATGCTTGGGTCTGCACCCACGTGGGAGATGTGGATGAAGCTTCTGGGTCTTGGCTGTCGTCTGGCCTAGCCCTGGCAGCTGTGACCATAGTGTCTCTCTCCGTGGTTCTGCCTTTCAAATTTTAAAAAAAAGCAAAACTTACAAAAAAATGAAAATCTCAAGGACTGCCCCTTTCTTGGTAGACACCCTCCCAAATCTACCAGAATAAACAAGTTCTGCAAGATTGCAAAGTACAGACCAGTGTATCAAAACCAGTTGTATTCCTGTGCACTCAGAACAATTTGAAAATAAAATTAACAGTCACACCAGAAGTGGAAGACTTGCAAGGGCCAGCTCAGTGACTCAATAGACTAATCCTCTGCCTGCAGCACTCTAGTCCCAGCTCCTCTTCTTCTTATCCAACTCCCAGCTTGTGGCTGGGGAAGCAGCCAAAGATGAGAGTCTCCCATTCATTTGCTGGCTTTCACCCCCAGGGGTCACAGTAACCGGAGTTGAGCCAGTCTGAAGCCAGGGGCTGAATCTCCCACGTGCCTGCAGGGCCCGAGGACTTGAGCCATCTTTTGCTGCTTTCCCAGGCCAAAAACAGGGAGCTGGATCTGGAGTGGCTGGGACCTGAACTGGCAGCCATATGGGTTGGCAGTGGCACAGTAAGAAGCCTACCATAGTGCACCATGGTGCCAGCTCTGAGAATTTTAAATTGCACATGTGTCCTCATTTTTATATTTCTGGGAAATACTGAATAATAGAGTGGGATTGAAAATTTATGCAGAAATGTCCCTTTATGAAATAAGTGGATTTGGGAGAGTAGTCTTGCTTTTATGATTTATTTATTTTTAGTGGAAAGGCAGAGTTAGAAGAGACACAGGTATTTTCCATCAGTCGGTACGCTCCCCTTTTGGTGCAGTGACCAAGTTGGGCCAGTTCAAAGCTGGGAGCCAGGAGCCTTTTTCAAGTCTCTCACATGAATATAGGGACCCAAAACTTGGACCATCCTCTGCTGCTTTCCCAGGCCATAAGAGAACTAGATTTTTAAGAATTTAGTTTTCACTTTGATGTTTACAAATTTGACAGGGATGACACGTAAGGACCACTGATCGGGGTGAGGAGGGTCGGGGCCTGGGGAAGGTGAGTTGGACAGATGTTTCCATTTTTCTCTTCTTCCCTTTTGTCCTGTATGTGGGTGATGGTGAAGGGATCGCAGGGAGCTGGATTGTAACTGGAGCAACCAGGGCTTGAACTGGTGCTCATAAGGGATTACCAGCAACTGCAGGCAGAGGCTTAGCTTCCTATGCAACCATGCCGGCCTCTGGCATTTGTAAGTATGTTGTAGGAAATAGTGTTTGCAGCTTGATTTACTCCCAAGTTCTTTTCTGGGAGTTAGAGAAGAAATTAGAAGTAGAATGTAAGATAAAGTGGGACAAAGGGAGCAGCATTTATTCAAAACTGTGAAAAGGCATTTAGAAGTGAATGAGCACTCTGTTCCTCAGGAAAGCTTGGCATTTGTGGCTAAGTCCATGGAAATTGGGGATACCCCTTTATGGTGTATGGGGGATGCTGAAATTGAATATTCAAATGGGCAAAGTTTTGCTGCAATGGTCATCTCCATGGGGCTCCACCCTCTTGTATACAGTGAGGAAGTGAGCCTCAGGTGCATCATGGGACGGTTGCCAGGCAGCCAGAACAAGAGGCAGAGGCCCTGTGGGGTGCCAGTGCCTCAGGAGGCAGCTTCACATGCTGTGCCACAATACCATCTCCAGACTCAGGTTGTTTCAAGTTGCTCCAAGTTCCAAGTTACTCGGATTGTTCCAAGTTATGTAATTACTGAGTGTGAAGTATTGTTGTAGATTCCAGGCCACCTCTGTGAAAAACAAAACAAAACAAAAACCTGTTTTTAAATTGTCTCCTTAAAGGCAGAGAGACAGAAAGAGATAGTCCATCTACTGGTTCACTGCTCGTAAACCCCTACAACCAGGGCTGGGCCAGGTTAGAGCATAAGCAGGGAACTCCGTCGAGGTCTCCGGCATGGGTGGCAGGGTCCCAAGGCTTTGGGTTGTCCTCAGCTGCTTTCCCAGACCACAAGCAGGGAGCTGGATGGGAAGTGGAACAGCCAGGACAGGAACTGGCGCCCGCATGGGATCCCTTGGCATGTAAGACGAGTACATTAACCACTAGGCTACCACACAAGGCCCACAGCTGGTGATTCGTCGCAGTGCACTAGAATTCTTTACAGAGTTTCTCAGTTTCAACATTGAAATTTTTACAGATTTTAAAGTTGAAAACTTTTATTAGCAAGTTTGTGTATTACTTAGCGAACTCTAAAGAATTTATGTATGTATTTGAAAGAGTAACAGGAAGGGGGTGGAGCAGGTCATCCAGCTGCTGGTTCTTTCCCCAAATGCCTGCAACAGCTGAGCTCTGCCAGACAAAGCCAACAAGAAGGCATGGCACCCAGGACTACAGTCCCTGGGCCTTCACTGCTGCCTCTCAGGATGGGCATTGGTGGGAAGGCAGGAGCCAGAGGCAGATGGCAGGCCCAGGCCTTCCCACAACCGCCCTTTCTAGACGGGCGAGTTCATCTCTGGGCCGCCAGATCCTCGACGGTTGAGTAGCACATGTCCACCTGAATGCGACCCTGCTCCCTCCAGTTCAGCCAAGCTGGCACCTTTGTCCTTGACTGTTTCATCCCTCGAACTTGGCACTTCCTGGGTTATCAGGTTGTGACCATTTATTTTCTATTTTATCTTCCATTTAGCATATTTTCTTCCCATAGCCAGAATCTCTTTAATGAAAGTTTTCATAACACCGCAAGTAAACTGTCAATAGCTTTCATTTCTTTCCCTCCTGAGACTTCTACAGGCTCCTGGCTTTTAGCCCGAACCGTTGTTATCTGGGGAGTAAAGCAGCAGATAGGAGACCATTCACACACCTACTTTCTCCCCCATCTCTTCTCCCTGTCAAGGAAATAAATACAGTGATCAAAACAGAAGGTGGTTGGGGGCCGGGGATTGGATGGGATCAGCAGGGAGTTAGAGGGGAGACAACTACGAAGGCTTCCACGGGAACGTCTGCACTTCCAGGGCCTGAAGGAGCTTAGGGTCCAGGTGGCACCTTGGCATCCTCAGAGAAGGGGGTGGGAGTTTTGTGCAATTTGCATCGTAAACCAGATTAAATTAGCTAAGTCGATGAAAAGCGTGGCGTTTTGTAGGAAAGCTCCATTGCAGCCTTGTGCAGTATAAACGTACTACATAAAAGAATGGCATTAAAGAACATCGCTTTAGTCAGTTTAATTTTTTTGCTTGAATTTGTGACAACATTGACTTTTACGACAGTACTGATTTTAACTAGTAGTCCTCTGAATTGAAAAGTCTTGAAGTTTTAGAAGTTATTTTTTATTTTTATTATCGTTATTGTTATTGGTCTGAAATAGATAATTGGATAAGTTCTGAATCAGTGGAGTTTCATCATACTCCTCCATCTGTTCCTAATACAAATATTTCCTGAAGGGTGAAGAGCACAGATATACAATGCTGGCTTATGCCTGAATAACTTATTGTTTATTCTTTGCAGGATCTGACGGGTATAGAATCTATGGATCAGTGTCGCCACACCTTGGAACAACATAACTGGAACATAGAGGTATAATAGGATTTATTCTCAGTTGGGTTGCTCTTTTTTTTTTCTCTCTCTCTCTGTTCTGATAAACCATCAAAACATGTTTTGCCATAGCAGGATATTTCTTATTCCTTCAATAGACTTTTTTTTCATACTTACCCCTGAGTAGTTAAGGAGTGTGTAGAAGAGGTAAATAGTATGAAGAACATTTATAAAATCATTGAAAAAAATAATAACCAAATCCTTCAATGCATCTTCCCTTCATTTTTTCTTGAGGTTCCTCAAAAAGCTATTTTTTGGGGAGATATATATATATATATGTTTTTTTTCATTTTAGAGTTCAGTTTTCCATAAAAAGGTTAGTATACACAAGCAATGCCAATTTTCCAATGCATATTAAGCAGTTTATTTAAAAAAAAAATCATGAGGAAGCAGAAAGGACCTTCCATTAGAAATGTGGGTATTTGAAAGTTGTAGGAACTAGACAATGTAGAAAGTACTATTTGTAATATCAGAGGGCTCCAAAAAAAGTCCACTGCTTTCCCAGGCTACATGCAGGGAGCTGGAAGAGAAGTGGAACAGCAGGGACGCGAACCTGCACCCATACGGGATCCCAGCACAAGCAGAGTGAGGATTTTGTCCACTAGGCTGCCGCTTGGGCCCTTGTGTATTTTTTAACCCGATGCTTTGATGTGAACCTTCTTAGTACGTGTCTTAAAGTGTGTTTTGATTCTTCTAGGTAGTGCATCACCAGCATCTTTGACTTCTTTTACTTGATCGTTTGAACTAGTTAGGTGGGACTTTATCACAGTGTTAGTCAAGAATTATAGCACAGTTCCTATGATTTTGGTTATTGCTTAAGGTAGAATGTAAGTTGCAAGAAAGCAGGGATTTATTTTTTCTGTGTTGCTTTTAAGATTTAGTTGTTTATTGGAAAGTGAGATTTACAGAGAGAAGGACAGAGAAAGATCTTCTGTCCACTGATTCACTCCCCAAGTAGCCAAAAAGGGCTTTGGGCCATCCTCGACTGCTTTCCCAGGCCACAAACAGGGAGCTAGATGGAAGTGGGGCCGCCAGGATTAGAACCGGTGTCTATAAGGGGTCCTGGTGCGTGCAAGGTGAGGGCTTTAGCCACTATGCTACAGCACTGTGCCCTTTCTGTAGTGTTAATTGCTATATTCCCAGCATATAACACCAAACCTGATACATCTTAACTCTTAATAGAGAATCTGTTGGCTGTGCCAGGCCCAAAACAGCTTTTTTTTTTTTTTTTTTTTTTTTTTTTGAGGTTTGACTGTTTTGTATTTAAAACAGGCTGTTAGAACTTTCATACAATACCTTTTGTTAATATTATAATTTTTCTTAGAACTTTAGTTTGAGTTTTTACTTTTCTGCTCTGTTTTATTTATCATGGATGCACGCCCACGCAGGGGAAAGGACTCCACAATTAACCTTATTAAAAATTAACCTTATTCCTGTTGCTTCATGGATGGGTAGTGTTAAATGTTAATGTGTAGCCTTTCGGTCCTCTGTGTGTGTGAGTATATACACATCCTAGTGTGTGTTATTTATGTATAATACCATCAGTGTCACCCATGGTGAGAGTTAGGTGTTAGGATGCTGCTTAAGTGTTAGGATACTGTCAGATCTAACTGTGGCAGGTGGAAGCTCTTAAAAATCCTTATCTTTGCCTGGAAGTTGTTTTTGTTACTATGTTTGGAGGATGTATTTGTTTGAAAGGGTTACATAAGAGGGAGAGACCAGAGATTCCCCATCTGCTGGTTCACTCCTCCAGTGGCTACAGTGGCTGGCACTGGGCCCATCCAAAGCCAGAGGCTTCTTCCATGTCTCCCTCGTCTTGGCTGCAGGGGCCAAGCTACTGGGCCATCTTTCCCTGCTCTCGCAGTGGACTGACCCACTAGAGCTTGGGGAACTCCCCTACTGGGCTGTAGCTCCCACTGCTGAGCACAAGAGTTTGTGCTTCCTGTAGGCCAGGCTAAACAAGCCTGCCTCACTTGTCCGCAGGTGTGTTGGCTGGCTGACTGCAGAGGGAGGGGAGTGGTCCAGGCAAGGCTGTGCCAAACCGCAGTATGCTGGCATACACAGGAGTCAGGATGGGGTGCAGGCCATGCTGGGCTAGGCTGTCATACCCATTGGTTAGCTGAGAGCCGGAGGTGGGGGTAGGCTGCAGCATTTGATTCAAGGACCAAGATGGGGAGGAGTCCATGCCAGGATGGTTCAGAGCAGCCACCAGCATGCCCAAGGTGTTGCTGGGCCAGGCGTGGTAGGGCAGCTAAGGGGATGCCCATGCTGAGTTGCAGTTCCTGCTGGTGAATGTGAAAACCAGAAATGGGGCAGTCCTGCATGAACATGGCTTGTGTGTCGGCTAGGTGTGGGGTGTGTCCAGCTGGGCCCCAGCAACTGCTGGTGCTGGCGAGAGGCAGAGTAGGTGTGGGATAGGCTAAGCTAGATCATAGCACCCATGGATCATATGAGTGCCGAGTCTGGAGGGGGACCAGGTAGGGCTGGCTGTAGCACTCATCAGTGAAAGCTGAAACAGTTGTAGGATGGTTTGGCAAAGCCACAGTACCAGCTAGGGAACATGGGGACTGGAGGTGGGCCATGTCAGGCTGAGCCAGGCACCCACCAAGTCATGACTGGAAACTGATCTGATGAGAGAGCTTGTTCCCTTGTTAAGACACAGCCATTGCTGATGAGTGCAGGAACTGAGGCTGGGGGCAGTCCATGCTAGGCCGGACTACAGTACTTGGTGTACATGTGGGTAAGGTCTGTGGGATGGGCTGGGCTGGACAATCTGCACTATTTGCTGGCAGGTGCAATAGTCAGGAGTGAGTACAGGCCGGGCTGGGTTGAGATGTAACACCTGTCAGTTCACATTAGGTCCAGGACTGGGTGGTGGCCAAACTGGGCTAGGCTGCAGCAACCCCCATTATAAGCTGGGACTAGGGGCATGCTGGATGGAGCCAGGCTGCAGCACCTGCTGGTGAATGCTCAGGTGAGACCCGCAATGCCAGACTTGGCCACAGCTCCCACCGGCGCACACAGAACCCCAGGCCAAGAGCAAACCTGGGTCGGGGGCTTTGGGACGTCTCTTTTGGGCTACTGTTCTTTACTGGTGAGTATTAGAGCTAGAACTTAGGGTCAGACAGGACTGAGCAGGGCTGCAACAACCATTGGCCTACATGTAAGTGCACTCTGAAGTTTGCAGCAAGAGATCAATGAATAAATGGTTTCTTTTTTAAAGATTTATTTATATTTATTGGAAAGGCAGATATACAGAGAGGAGGATCTTCCATCTGCTGATTCACTCTCCAAGTGACCGCAGTGGTTAGAACTGAGCCGATCTGAAGCCAGGAGCTAGGAACTTTTTCCAGGTCTCCCACACAGGCACAGGGTCCCAAGGCTTTGGGCTGTGCTCGACTGCTTTCTCAGGCCACAGGCAGAGAGCTGGATGGGATGCAGGGTTGCCGGGATTAGAACTAGCGCCCAGGGCCCTGTGCAACCTAATGACTAAAGTCCTTGCCTTGCATGCACTGGGATCCTATATGAGTGGAAAACATCTTTGTGTATTTAATTTCTCCTCTCTGACTTGTCAAATAAATAAGTAAATTTACACAAAAATGATTGCCTAGAAACATGGTCAGTTGCTTAGACTTTTTTTTTTAAATAAATGTGAAGTTGTGGATCAGAGTTTATCTTTCTTGTTTTTGTAGTAATTCAGATTTATTTGGCAGGAGAGACATTTTCCGTGTGCTGGTTTCTTCTCCAAATGGCTGCAATAGCCAGGGCTATTCTTTGCCAAAGCCAGGAGCCAGGCACTCTGTATGAGTCTCCTACATAAGAGGCAGGTGCCCAGCTACTTAAACTGTTTTCTTGTGCTTTCCTAGACATATTAGCAGGAACTGGATCTTCCCTGGAGGTCCAGGGGCCGAGCACGTGGCCGTCTTCCACTGCTGTCCTGGCCGAGTGAGCAGCTGAGTCCCAGACCAGTGCCCACCATGCCACAGCACCTAATTTTTGTGGGTATAATACAGTGCGTTGAGAATCACAGAGGCAGGTGCAAATCATTACCCACAAGGGAGAACCAAGCAAGCCCTGGTGGCGTCCAGGCCAATCCAGGAGTGAGCATCAGTGTGTGGTGGGGGTAGGATGGAGGTGTGCAGAGCAGACAGAGCACACCACCATCCTGAGTGCTCACACATCTCCCATCATGCTCCTTTGTGAAGATGGGTTAACCAAGGAGCACCCTGCACCTCACCCCTCATCTGGAGGCTCCAGTCCCCTGGTCCCCTGGTCCCCTGGTCCCCTGGAACCAGCTGTGCGAGCAAGGACCTTCCTTATTGGAAACCATCTCTGCTCCACAAAACTAAACATTTAGTTATTTATTTATTATTATTTTTTTTATTGCAAAGTCAGATATACACAGAGGAGGAGAGACAGAGAGGAAGATCTTTTGTCCAATGATTCACGCCCCAAGTGGCTGCAACAGCCGGTGCTGCGCCTATCCGAAGCCAGGCAGGAGCCAGAAACCTCTTTTCGGGTCTCCCATGTGGGTGCAGGGTCCCCAGCCTCTGGGCCATCTTCGACTGCTTTCCCAGCCACAAGCAAGGAGGTGGATGGGAAGTGGAGGTGCCGGGATTAGAACTGGCGCCCACCCCGGCGCGATGGCGCAGTGGTTAAAGTCCTCGCCTTGCACGCCCAGGATCCCATATGGGCACCGGTTCTAATCCCAGCAGCCCCGCTTCCCATCCAGCTCCCTACTTGTGGTTTGGGAAAGCAATGGAGGATGGCCCACGGCCTTGGGACGCTGCACCTGCATGGGAGACCTGGAAGAGACTCTGGGCTCTGGCTTTGCACTGGCCCAGCTCTGGCCATTGCAGCCACCTGGGGAATGAACCAGCGGATGGAGGATCTTTCTGTCTCTCCTTCTCTCTGTAAATCTGACTTCTCATTACAAAGAAAAAAAAGTGCAGTGTACTTACTGCGTAAATGTGGCTTCCAGTCCAGTTCCCTGCTTTCTCACTGCGTCCCCGCACCATGGGCTCCTCTGGTGTCCTGTGGGTGGTGATTATGCTGTTAGGAGATACCAAGTGTTTGTTGCCTCGTGTCTTCTGGGTTGATGTGCGCATCGCTAACAGCCCTGCTTCTCCGTTTTCCTTCTCAGGCTGCTGTACAGGACAGACTGAATGAGCAAGAGGGCGTGCCAAGTGTCTTCAGCCCACCTCCATCCCGACCCCTGCAGGTTAATACAGCTGACCACAGGATTTACAGCTATGTTGTCTCAAGACCACAACCAAGGGCAAGTTGCTTTGCAGCTGGAATTTCCCCCTTTTCGATGTTATAAGTGTATTTATTTGGTTCTATCAATTTCTGTATGGTAGGTACCAAGGAAACGTTACTTAGACCTGGGCCCTTGGTAGACTTAGTACGTACATTGCTTTCCTTTGGATGCTTAGTAAGTTAGTATAGAAACTATTTTTTTTTTTTTTCTGTTTTTTTCCCGGTTACTTGGAAGATGCTTTCCATTTTGTTGGTTTTGGTCTTAGTGCTATTCATAGTTCTAAAAATGTTTGCTACGTGTTTAATAGAGTTCTGTTTTTAGGATAGGATCTGTTCACCAACTTATTTGTTGCTTCAGTTTACTTAATTTTTTTCCCCTTTCGCTTACTTAATTTTAAACCCGCTGTCAAGGGAGTGCCTGGGCTCTTTACGGGGGTCTCGGCCACATCTCCAAGACCAGTTTTGAAGGACTAAGTATCAGAAGGAGGTTCCCTTACATTCAGGAGGCCTTTCAAGAATACTCCAAGGGATCAGTTTGTGACATAATGGGATAATCTGCTGCCTGCGATGCTGGCATTCCGTGTGATCACCAGTTCAAGTCCTGGTGCCTCCACTTCTGATCCAGAACCACGCTAACGTGGCTGAGAAAGCAGTGAGTGATAGCTCAGATCCTTCGGCCCCTACACTCACGTAGGAGGTCTGGTCAGAGTCCTAGGCTCATGGCTTTGGCCTAGCCCCATCTCCAGCCGTCTCAGCCATTTGAGGAGTGTGAGCCAGTGGGGGGATATTTTCTTAGTCTCTTTCTCTTCTCTCTGTACCTTTGCTTTTCAAATAAATCTTTAGTAATAATAATAGTAATAAATTTAAGTTGATGTGAAGGCTCAACCAGCTAATCCTTCCCCTCCAAGTACCAGCGTCCCATGTGGCACCTGTTTGGGTTTCTGAGGCTTCCAGTCCAACTCCCTGCCTATTGCCTGGGAAAGCAACGGAGGAAAGCTCAAAGCCTTAGGACCACACATCTGTGCAGGAGACCCGGAAAAGGTGCCTGGCTTCTGATTGGCTCATCTGTGGTCATTGTGGCCATTTGGGTGATGAACCAGCAAATTGAAGATCTTTTCTTTCTCTCTCTAAATCAGCCTTTCCACAAAAAATACATTCTTTTTTAGTTAGTAAATAAATCATGGGTCCAGTGCAGGGGCCTAGCAAGCTGGTAGGCTGATCTTCTACCGCCTGTGCCACCGGTATCCCGTATGCATGGACTTCAGTTAAAATGCCAGCTGCTCCACGCCAGATCCAGCTCCCAGCTTTGGACCATCTCTGTCTCTCCTTTCTCTCTCTCTCTCTCTCTGTAACTATGACTTTCAAGTATTAACAAATAAATCTTATAAATTAATAATCTTAATCAAAAGTTTGCTTCAGTAACCTGGTGTTTCCTTGTGGGAGTTTTCCCCCTTTTTGTTTAATTTCTCACAGTCTAGTTACAGAAATCAGATATGTGTACTGAAAATGAACTCTGAAGAATTTCTTGGGAATTCTCTCATTCTTGGAAGTAAACTCACCTCTTATGCTTGTATCTTGAATCCTAGGAAAGCACTCCTTTTAATCTTGCAACGTTTATAAATGTACGCTATCGTGATACTTTTTGGGGAATACTTGATATTTTAGAAATGGAGTGCAGTGTTCCCTCATCTTTAAGATTTATATTTATTTTTATTGGAAAGGCTGCATCTTTTTTTTTTTTTTAAAGGCAGAGAGAGAGAGAGATCTTCCATGCACTGGATCATTCCCCAAATGACCACAGTAGGCCAGGCCGAAGGCACTAAAAGCCAGAATTCCGTGCAGGTCTCCCATGCTGGTGGAGGACCCAAGCATCTAGACCATCTTCTGTTGCTTTCCCAAGCATGATTAGCAGGGAGCTGGACCAGGACTCTGACGTGGGATGCTGGCTTTGCAGGTGTTGGTCAATCCCAAGGCACAACAGTGATGGCCCCTGCCTTTTCCCATGTTAACCAAGCACTTTCACGCATTACGTCTAACTTTTGGGATTTGAAGCACAGTGGCCATATTAGTATATTTCTTTTTCCTTCTTTGCAATCTAATGAATAGTGATTTTGCTCTGATCATAGATCTTAACAGGTTCAGAATACTTTTTTTTAACTTGACTTTTTTTTCTTTTTAAGGTTTATGTATTTTTATTGGAAAGGCAGATATACAAAGAGGAGAGATAGAAAGATCTTTTGTCCGCTGATGCACTCCCCAAGTGGCAGTAGCCGGAGCTGAGCTGATCCGAAGCCAGGGTCAGGAGGCTCCTCTGTGTCTCCCACGTGGGTACAGGGACCCAAGACACTGGGCCGTCCTTGACTGCTTTCCCAGGCTGCAAGCAGGGAGCTGGATGGGAAGCGGGGCTGCCGGGATTCGAACTGATGCCCATATGGGATCCCAGCATATTCAAGGGAAGGACTTCAGCCACTGAGCTATATTATCCCAGGCCCAGGAGATGACGTTTTAAATGAATTTGACAGAATAGCCATAGAAAAAGTATAGAGGCAAATTTAATACAGCAGTTATTTGAAAAACAAAAAGATACTACCGAATGAATTAAGATCATAAGGTATCCAGGAAGCAAAAACTATAGTGCAGAGAAAGAAATCCTGTGAAAGGATGAGAGTGAAGACTGGCTTGTGTATTTGAAAGGCAGAATGAGAAAGGAGGATCTTCTCTGCCTGTCTCCTCCTCAACCTGCAACATCCGCAGAGAGGCCAACCCAGAGCCAGGAGCCTAGAATTATCCAGTCTGTCTTTCCAGCCAGTTGTCTGTCTCCCAGGAGCATTAGCCACAAGCACAGTTGAGAGCGGAAGAGAGGCGGGGTCCTGGGCACTGAGATACAGGATGCTTGGCTCTCAAATGACAACTTAACCCACAGCACCGTAGCACTTACCCTTGACCTAGCCGTTTTGCAGAGTATTCAGTAGCAAGCGAATGGTCTCTAACTTTGTTTTTTGGAATTTCAGGGACTGCTTGGATGGGGTTATTACTTGATAATGCTTCCATTCCGATTTACGTATTACACGATACTTGATATATTTAGGTACGTACCTCTGTATTTATGTATTAGAAGAAATAAAGTAGACTTTGGAACTGAAAGGGGTTTTGTGCACTCTCGTAGTTTGTCATGAGATGAACTGCTCTTTCTAAACTTTCAATGTATTTTAAATTGTGTGAAGTATTTTAAATTATTCAAGCATCGTGGCAGGTGTTATAAAACAAGAATCGTCCAGGCTGTATTTACTGGTGTCCCCTGCCCTCCTCTACCGTGTTTTCACCTCTGCGTCCCCTGGTTAATTCCTACTGCCCTTTCCTTCCTAACCATCGTTGTCTTAGCTTCACACTCCTAGCATTTTTAACCTGAACCACTTCTGTATGCGACTACTCACTAGCTCAACAAACTCTCTTGTTGTGAAATTACCCACTGTTCCCTCGCTGCACCTCTCCAGATATTCCTTGTGTGTGTTTGACTCAGGCCTGGCAACCTCTTGGCTGCTGTCACGGAAGCCTTTTGTGCATTTACCCACTTGCTTCATGCCCTCACCGTTCTACTTTCCTTTATGCGCCACTCAAAGAGTGTTAAGGCTGGAAAGTGTGGTGTGAAGCTTGGCTTCTTGGCAGATCAAGATCAGGTTGTTTGAGCTAGAGCCATCCCCAGGCTTTCTGGCATCCACACAGGGCAGCAAATGAATATGGATGGATGGATGGATGTATAAATGAGTAATTACAAATATGTGAGGGCCTTCCGTCCAAGCAGCGTGTACTTCTGTCCATGAGTCCTGCTCTAGGGAGGAGTGTGGAGGTCAGGATTCACCAGCTGTGCGATCAGATCACACCCTTTGGCCTTGGCCTCTTGGTATTTTATGGAGCTGACCACTTAAGGACTTACTAGCTTTTAGCCAGGTTATTAATGGTCACCAGTTACCCACTAAATACTCTCTTCATCCCTGTCTTATTTGAGAATGATCCCTTGAACCATTCTGCCCTAATGAACTATGTAAAGATTGTTAAAACTAAAGAAAAAAATAGTTTAAAAAATGATCAGATTAAATCCTTCAGGATCATATAATACTCAGTCGACATTAGACATTTTGTTAAAAGTGTATTTTACATTATGTGTGTGTAGAATATAATGGGAAACAGAAAAAGCCTTTATTCTTTCTTCAGAATTTGAGAAATTAACGATAATCCTGAAGCAGTTTCAGAGCAAGTGGTGAAAGCATCGGTGACTGGGAGAATTTCCAGTCACTGTCCCATGTGCACATTAATGTTTTCTGTTTCTGATTTGATCTGGAATGTTTGTGTCAATAAATGTGGTTACCCCGGAGAAATTCCAAGTGAAAGTGTGTGCATGTGGGCCGTTTGTTGAAGGGCTAAGGAACTGGTTCAAGATTTGTAAGGAAAAAGTCACACTTTAGTTGCCTTTTCTGCGATAAGATAAATGAACAAATGAATGTTGTCTGCTCTCCTGGGGAAAATATGCATGGCATGTGTTACTAATGTTCCCGCAGCTGTTCCTCCGAGCCACTTGTTTCAGTGTAGCACCCCGGCCCAGCCCCATTGTCTTCTGCAGAAACCCAGAAGATAAATGAAAAGTGCAATACAGATAACAAGGGTACTTCCAAAAGTTCTAGAAAATGTATATTATGAAAACTGATTTTCAAAATTTTAGCAAGATAAACGTCTCTTTTAATTCCATTTTGCACAAACTTTCTGAAGCTCGCCATAGTGAGCCCTCTGTGGAGAGAGGCGTGTGGTGCGCGGGCCTTCCCGTTAGCTAGCTTTATGTCTTCCTCCGTGGATGCCATCAACAGTAAACCAGCAAGCAAGATGTACTTGCTCCTTTGAAGATCATAAACCGTGACTCTAAGGTCAGATTTGAAGTCCTGATCTACAAATTGAACAGTTTGGAAGTATTCACTAAACAGTTAGAATCCCAGAGCTTAAGAGGGAGAGGCAAGTAGGAAACCAGCAGAATCTTTGCATCCGAGCAGCAGTGTCTGACGGGAATGTTGTGTGCGCACACTGTTCAGAGTGGAAGCCCCTGACCACACACAGTTTTGCATACTGGAAATGTAGCTAGTATGACTAAGGAATTGAAATTTTTTAAAAAATTTAATTAAATTTAGAATAGCCACTTGTGGTAGTGCCTATGGTACCAGTTATTTCTAGGGAATTTGGATGTATAGTTTGACCTGTGAGCTTTTAAGACACTGTGTGTTTCTTTCCCAATCATTCTAGTCTGATTTTTTTTTTTTTCCTGCAAAAAGCACTCAGGATTTGCTGAGGCCGTGCTGGAATTTATTACCCTTGTAGTTTCCATTCTTAAACAGACAGTGGAACAACACTTGGTGTCTGGCGGCTTTGGAGCCGCACTCTGCGCTCAGGTTTGATGGTCCACTCCCAGACCGCCGGCCTCCCTTGTTGCGGTGCCTCTGGCTCTGTTGTAGCAGTCTGTGCACAGTGGCCCCTCCAGATGCCCTTCATTAAGCTGGATTCATGTGATATTTATTCCTTCCTCCCCAGGTTTGCTCTTCGTTTTATACGGCCTGACCCTCGCAGCCGGGTCACTGACCCCGTGGGGGACATTGTTTCATTTATGCACTCATTTGAAGAGAAATATGGGAGGGCTCACCCTGTCTTCTACCAGGGAACGTACAGCCAGGTCAGTGCCACAACTTACCAGTATGATTCTGTACCCAGAGGAGAGCATAACGCAGCACTGATCGTGCCATTCTGTCACTCAAAAACCAAAAAAAAAAAAAAAAAGACCAAACCTTTCAGCTGGTTCCAACGTTCTTTTGAGGTCTTTTCCTGTCCCAACTTTCCCGTCCCCGGGTTCCACCTAGAACATTCCCTGACCACGGCCTCTACTTGCCTCCCTCCGTGCCTGGCCTGTTGCTGTTTTCTGCACTGGAATGCCTTCCTCACGTTTTCACTAATTGGAATCTTACCTGTCCTTCAGCCAGCTCCTGTCGTTCCCCTCTTAAAGCCATTCCTGCTTGATGTACCTTCTCCTGCCCTCCCTTCAAATCTAAAATATTACTCCTTTTGTTCTTCGTGGCTTTATTTATTCATTTAGAGCAGTTTCGAGGACTTTATATTGCAGCTATTTGTTTGGTGTCTTACCTCTTTTATTAGACTGTAAGCCCCTTAAAAACAAAGCTTAAATATTCTTTGGTGCCTCACAGAACTGGCTAGGGCATAGACTGTGGATTCGGTGTGGCATGTTGCATTCAACCCCCACCATACAGACCCAAGTGCCACCTTTTGAAAAAGGAACAAAAATGAAATCTGCATGTGTGGTAGGTATATCTCTTACTTGCTAGAGAAGAGCAGATAATTCACTGTGAGTGTAGGCAAAGATGGTTCTTTTTGTTTTGTTTTGTTTTTAAAAATTTATTTTTTATTGGAAAGTCAGATATACAGAGAGGAGGAGAGACAGAGAGGAAGATCTTCTGTCCGATGATTCACTCCCCAAGTGACCACAACGGCCGGTACTGTTTCGATCTGAAGCCAGGAGCCAGGAACTTCCTCCAGGTCTCCCACGCGGGTGCAGGGTCCCAAGGCTTTGGGTCGTCCTTGACTGCCTTCGCGGGCCACAAGCAGGGAGCTGGATGGGAAGTGGAGCTGCCGGGACCAGAACCGGCGCCCATATGGGATCCCGGTGCGTTCAAGGCGAGGACTTTAGCCGTTAGGCCACAGCACTGGGCCCACAAAGGTGGTTCTATTCATGAGTGGAGAGTGAGGACAAATGCTTACCCTGAACGCTGACATTGGCTTCCTGCTTTGATTTTTTTTTTCCCACATCTGCTTTTTTCTAACAGTTCCCTTACTGGCTGCTGCCACCCCGCTCCAGAAACCTGGAGCACCTGTGTGTGCTCGAGTCATCGCGCTGAGTTCATGAGCACCGCTCCTGCACGCTCCCGCTGCAGTCATGGGGGTCAGCGTGCAGTGTGCCTAGAAGGATGCACTTGGAAAAGTCTGTGCACAGGTGTCTCAGACCTAGCCTTCTCTCTGGAGATCTCTGAGATCCTGTGCTCTTTAGAATGCTGTGGGGAGTCCCTCATCGCATTGCAGTGTGGCTGAAACTTAAGCTCCTAGCACAGGAAGGTTTTATGTACAAAGATACTATAGCTGTGAAGTGCAGGATTCTCACATGGTTTTCACATGGTCGATTCTTTAGACTGGAAACCTGCACTTATGGGAACCTATATTTCTCATTCTACCCAGTCTGATGTGCCTGGTACGATCTGAATGCTAACATCACTAAAACCTTTTTGTTAAAGCTTGCTAGCGTGGACTTTCCGTAGGAAGAGAAACGTCAAGGGTGGAAGGCAGGAGCCCTATAGATTTCCTGCTTTCTCGCTTGCCTTTTTTTCCCCTTGTTTTTCTTTTTGTTCCTTAACGTGTGGCTGTCCGTGAGGACTCTTGGGCTAGCTAACTGTTCACAGCGTGACCTTCAGGGTAACTGGTGTCCTTTGTCTCACAGGCCCTTAATGACGCCAAGCGGGAGCTTCGCTTTCTGCTGGTTTACCTTCATGGAGATGATCACCAGGATTCTGACGAGTTCTGTCGGTGAGTGAGCTGTTCTTTGTCTCTTTTCTGACCTCTTAGACATATGTTTTTCTCATGTTCTTCTCCCGTTCTACAGCAATACACTCTGTGCACCTGAAGTCATTTCGCTAATAAACACCAGGATGCTGTTCTGGGCGTGCTCCACAAACAAACCCGAGGGCTACAGGGGTGAGTCGGGTTGCTTTTGCTTCACTGAAATTGTTGGGAGTGTCTTTTTCTTGACATTTCTCTGTTTCAGAGCCTGTTTCATTTTTAAAAACATTCAGTCCTGTGCTCAGAAGCTTTTCTTTAATCTGATCACTGTGGCCCGTTTTTGACCAAAGAATATTCTCTTCTTAAGCAATCTAAACATTTGCCCCCATCTACTTGAAGGCAGAGCATTCCATCTGCTGATTCAGTCCCTGCATGCCAGCAAACGGCTACATCAGGGCCAGGGTGAAGTCCAGGGCCCGAAATTCCCGTCTGGGTGCTCCACATGCCAGGTAGGGGCCAGGCACTTGACCTGCCAGCTGCTGCCTGCTAGGGTGCACGTTAGCAGGAAGCTGAGTCGCAAGCAAGCAAGCAGCTGGAACCAGAACCTGCTCTTAGATACGGAATATAGGCTTCTCAAACAGCCGCTTAACCCACAGGGCTACAGTTGCACTCCATTTAGCAGTTAATCGTAGTAGTACTTGCTGCACAGAGAGGTAGCTGTTTGGGTACTTTGGGTGCTAATACAGATACAGAATATTCAATTTTTTGTTGGCAACAGCTCAACAAAAAAGAGCAGTATTTTTAGAAGTTAGTGGATGATATATAGTGAGCTCTAAAGATGAACACAGCCTGGCCCCTGCACTGTAGCGTGGCAGGTTAAGCCACGACCTATAGCACCAGCATCGTGGGCACCAGTTTAAGACCCAGCTCCACTTCCAGTCCACGCCCTGCTAACATACCTGGGAGACCAGCAGGAGATGGCCCGAGCACTTGTGCCCCCGCACCCCAATGGGAGACAGAAGCAGCTCCAAGTTCCTGACGTCAGCCAGGCACAGTCCCAGGCTGTTGTGCCTGTTTGGGGAGTGAACCAGTGGATGGAAGATCTTTCTCTCTGTCTCATCTTCTCTCTGTAAATCTGACTTTCCAATAAAAAATAAATAAATCTTTTTTTTTTTTAAGTTTTTTGGTGCAAAACTAACACTTTTATGGATTAATAAAAGACATGTGGGTTAAGGCATATGTTAGGCAAGAGGAAAGGAAGTTACACAGTGGGGACTTTGACCATCTGTAGCGTCAGCCTGAAGTTGCAGCCTTGACCACGCAAGTGGAGAAAACTGCTAAACTGTGTCGGTGTTGTTTTCTGAATCTTCTGCTGTCAAGTTGGCATCATCCTTGAACTTTACAGCCTTCTCTAGCATTTTCATAACAACCATGCTTCCCACTAATAAAGTTATTTTTTCTTTTTTTAAGCTTTATTTCTTTTTGTTTGAGAGGCAGATTTTTTTGGAGGGAGAGAGGTCTTCCATCTACTGGTACACCCCCCAAATGATCACGACTGCTTAGGGCTGAAATGATCCAGAGCCGGGAGCTTCTTTCTCACCTTCCACACTGGGAAGCAGTGTTCCAAGGACATGGAGCATCCTGCCTTCCCAGGCCACAAGCAGGGAACCGGATGGGAAGCGGAACAGCTGAGACACATACCAGCACCCATATGAAAGGATTAGTGAGCCCCACGCTCATGTCTTCCTAATCAAACACCTCGGTTTAGGAAAGCAAGGGTACAAAGGAAAAAGATGAGGAGGCTGGGGTGGGGCGGTGGGCACTGTGTTTATTTACCGAATAGGATGAAAGCAGTTCTCTTGTATTCGTTGTGGAAGTCTGAGGTGTAGTCTGTTTCTCTCCTGAGTCCTGCCCTTGATCTCTTGGGTCTTTCTCTCAGTCTCACAGGCATTACGAGAGAACACCTATCCGTTCCTGGCCATGATTATGCTGAAGGACCGGAGGATGACGGTGGTGGGACGCCTAGAAGGCCTCATTCAGCCCGATGACCTGATTAACCAACTGACTTTTATAATGGATGCGAACCAGACTTACCTGGTGTCAGAACGTCTAGAAAGGTAGAAGGGAGTTTCTTTCTGAAAGGAAGAAGCCAGTTACAAATTTGTTGAATGACCTGGGGCTCTGAAAGTGTTTTTTCCTTGTCTGTGAAGCAGTTTTAAAATCCTCTAGTGGTTTTTTTTCTTTTTAATGTTTTAAAATCTCTTTAGTGTCAGAATGCTTACAAACAGTGCTTTGACCTCAATCACTCTACATCACATCTGTGCCTGTCGACATCACGGGGCTTCAACTCTTCTCTCCCATTGTGTTAATGCAGTAATCTTAGATTTGTAAAACAGAAAAACACAAATAGTGAAGATCCCTCATAATCCTGGCTCCACTGATGCATCTTCTGACTTCACAGCCAGACGAAGTACCCTTATACACACGCATGCCCTGCCAGTGGTCAGGCAGGCCACGCTTTCCTGAGACTTTGATACCTTCACAGTACACATCACTTCTGACACCAGCTTGGTGGAGGCTTTTCACACACACTTCTCAAATGACCGATTCTGATTGCTTCTTGATTTAGTGTCAGATTCCATCAGTAGAAGGCTCAGCCCCCAAGATCACCCCCCCACCACCACCACCACTCATTGTAGACGCTGTTGCAAGCACTGCATTGTTTAATCTGTACTTCTGACCAAATGATTGTAACTCAGAATTTTCACAGTCCCTTCTTTGCGTTTAGTTACTTGCTGGAACAGCTGACAGAACTCAAGAAAACACTTAGGTTTACCAGTTGATCAGAAAGAACAAACTGAAGGACACAAAGAGATGCCTATGGGAGGGTGTGCAGGAAGAGGCAGGGGGCTTCCTTGTCCTCCGCAGACACACCACCCTTGAGGGTGCTGCGTGTGTGCGGCATTTTGAAGGCGCTGAGAAGCCAGGCCATGGGGGCTTTTTGTGGAGACTCTTGGGGAAGCGTGATCGAAGCATAGACAGCCATTCAGAAATGTGATTGGACAAAAGGGTCTGAGCTGAGGTTCCTGGGCCAAGTGGAGGATCCCACCAAGGCCTAGCCTGTTCAGGTCCTTGCTGGCCTCTCTGCAGCATGCCTTCCTCTCAGGCTTGGGGACAGTCTCTGCTGATGGGGGGTTGTGGTCAGAGAATGTCCTTAGAGCCAGCCCCAAGATGGTACAGAAGAAAAGGCGTAATGGCTCTCCATGAGCCAGGAACCCTGGATGAGAACACACACATCTAGCGAAATGGCACATGGAAACTATTTTAAATGTAAACTTAGAATGGCACTCCATATCTAAATACACCATAGTGGAACCAGGTCCCTTGCTGGACTTCTAGATAATTTTCAGGTGTTTGTTTTTTGTTTGTTTTTTTCTGATATAAATAGCATGCATTATTATAATTTCTTTTTTTTAAGAATTATTTATTTTTATTGAAAAGGCAGATACACAGAGAGGAGGAGAGATAGAGAGGAAGATCTTCGTCCAAGGATTCACTCCCGAAGTGACTGCAACAGATGGTGCTGCGCTGATCAGGAGCCAGGAGCTTCTTTTGGGTCTCCCACGCGGGTACAGGGTCCCAAGGCTTTGGGCCGTCCTCGACTGCTGTCCCAATCTACAAGCAGGGAGCTGGATGGGAAGCAGGATGGCCAGGACACAAATGGCGCCTGTAGGGGATTCTGGCATGTGCAAGGGGAAGAGTTAGCCGCTGAGCCATTACACCAAGCCTAATAGATAAAACTTTTTAAAGGTTTTTGTTGTTGTTGTTTTGTAATTTGTTTGAAACATAAATAAATTTCACTGCCTAGGTGCCTGCAGTGGCCCAGGCTGGGCTTAAGGCAGAACCAGAGCGCCAGTAGGTCTCTGTCGTGTGACATAGGCCCCACGACTTGAACCTTACCCTGCTGCCTCCTGGCTTCTGCATTAGCAGGAAGCTTGGGTTGGGAGCCAGAACCGCTAGGAGAGAGGCAGTGGGTTAAGACATCTTAAGTGCGCGCGATTGTTTTTTTCTTTCTTCTTTTGTCTTTTTAATGCCAACACTTGTATTCTTAACAGAACCTGTGAAGTGAGCAGGAGGCTGAATCTGTATGCACAAGATTTTTACTCTCTAGACTAAATAAACATCTCAGTTTTTTTTTTTTTTAAGATTTACTTATTATTTTATTAGGAAGGTAGATTTATAGAGAGGAGAGACGGGGGGGGGGGGCAGATCTTTTATGTGCTGGGTCATGCCAAATGGCCACATTGGCCAGAGCTAGGCTGATCTGAACCCTAGAGCTTCTTCCAAGGCTCCCACATGGGTGCAGGGTCCCAAGGCCTGCTCATCTCCACTGTTTTCCTAAGACATAAGCAGGAAAATGGATGGGAAGTGAAACAGGTGGGGCACAAACCAGCATCCATATGGGATCTCAGACTTGCAAGGCAAAGGATTAGCCAATCGAAAGATCACATCAGGCCTACATCTCATTAATTTTCCTTTTTTTATGATTTATTTATTTTTATTGGAAAATCAGATTTACAAAGAGAAGGAGAGACAGAGAGAAAGCTCTTCAGTCCGCTGTTTCACTCCCCAAGTGACCACAACGCCAGGAGCTTTTTCTGTGTCTCCCCCATGGGTACGGGGTCTCAAGGCTTTCAGCCATCCTCAACTGCTTTCCCAGGCCACAAGCAGGGATCTGAATAGGAAGTGAAGCACCTGGGACACATGGGATCCTGGCAGCTTCTTCTGGGATCCCACACAAGTGCAGGGTCTTAAGGCTTTGGGTCGTCCTCCTCTGCTTTCCCAGGCCGCAAGCAGGAAGCTGGAGGGGAAGTGGAGCTTCCAAGACATGAACTGGTACCCAGGTGGAATCCCGATGGATGCAAGACGAGGAGTTAGCCACTGGTCCATTGCTCGAGGCCCTATAAATTTTCTAACATGAATATGTGGTTTTGGATTTTATCAGTGGAACATATCCTCAGAAGGAGATTGACCTTAAAATAGGATATTGTTGATCAAGTTAAAAGGGAGAAAACGTAAAAGAGAAAGGAAAATTTGCCCTTTCCCCCCGACCCCCGAAGTTAAATTGAAAAGAGAAAATTCATCTCATTTCTGTCAGTCTCTTCCAGTCTCAACATTATTAATCAGCCAACTTCCCCCAGGATCAGTATGAGAAACAGCTTTGTGGAATTCCCGTTTTGTTTTTGATCTGTCCACAGGGAAGAAAGAAACCAAACCCAGGTACTGAGGCAGCAGCAGGATGAGGCCTACTTGGCGTCGCTCAGGGCCGACCAGGAGAAAGAGAGGAAGAAGAGGGAGGAGCGGGAGCGCAGGCGGCAGAAGGAAGAGGAGGTGCAGCAGCAGAAGCTGGCGGAGGAGAGGCGGCGGCAGGTACCCACCCGGGACCCACCACCTGGGACCCACCACCCGGGACCCACCACCCGGGACCCAGCACCTGGGGTTGCTCATAGCTGCACAAGCAAGACACTACAAGACGCTCTAGCTGTGGCTCGCTAAATTTTCCCTGCCATTTACATGTTCATTTTTAGAGCCGGTGTTTGCTGACAAGGCATTTCATTCATGGTCTTATTTCACTATGCATCCCCACTTGTTCATAGCTAGTGCCTTTGAGCCACTCTTTTTCCTCAAATAGTTAAATGTGTAACTGTAGTCTCAGTAACACGTGTTATGCAGTGGTACGGTGATTTAGGTTTTTTTCTTACTCTTGGGAAATAGTTTTTCCTGTCGTAGTTAGACATTTTTCTTTTGACTGCACACTAAGCCCACGTGGTCACGGTGTTTGTTCCCAGTTTTCTGTTGATGCCACGGTCTCACCGCTGCTTTGTTTCTACAGAACTTACAAGAGGAAAAGGAAAGGAAGTTGGAGTGCCTTCCTCCGGAGCCTTCCCCAGATGACCCAGAAAGTGTCAAGATCATTTTCAAGTTACCCAATGATTCTCGAGTAGAGAGACGATTCCACTTCTCACAGTCTCTAACAGTAAGGACCACCTGTGTTGCGCGATGCATATGGAGGGTCTGGGCTCGCGCTCGGGAAGTGTCGGTGGGGCCTTGAGAGCGTTGTTAGGAACGTGCTGCTTAGAGGAACTGGAGAGCAGGGGCAGCAGGGACGAAGTGCTGGAAACCAGGAAGAATACAGTGAGCCAGGGGTCCCCTCAGATCCAGCTGCCACCTCAGCAACTTTTAACATTTCTTCGTTTGACTGAGTTTTTGGCTTCTAAGTAAAATAGATGTCTTGCAAAGAAATAGCACAAAAGACTTGCGTATTTGAAGGTAGACAGCTCTTCTGTGCTGTCTTTGCATTAGCTTCAGAGTGGAAAGAAAGCTCTGTCTGCAGGGACTGGAAAGCCCTGGAGCTGCACATCTGCTGGAGCTGCACGTGCATTCTCTGTGTCATTCTTTCGCACTTGCTGCTGCTTCAGCCGTAACAAGCAAAGCTCCACTTTTCATGTGGTAGTGACCTGCGTAATAGTGTTTGCCATCTCTGTACGAAAGTAGACTCTCAGAATCTCACAGAATGAGGGCCAGATTTTGAAGGGTACTAAATGTGTTTTTTTTTTTTTTTTTTAATTGGAGAGTCAAATAATGCAAAAAGGAGGGGAGACAGAGAGGAGACTCCTGGTCCGCTGGTTCACTCCCCAGGCGGCCGCCATGGCTGGAGCTGTGCCATCCCGAAGCCAGGAGCTTCTGGGTCTGCCACATGGGTGCAGGGTCCCAAGGCCATCCTCTGCTGCTTTCCCTGGGTGGGAAGTGGGGCCGCTGGGATTAGAACCAGTGACCATATGAGACCCACCGCATGTTCAAAGCGAGGACTCTAGCCACTAGGCTACTGTGCCAGGTTCATAAATTTATTTTTAAATTCTTTTGTAAGATAATCTTTTTATATGTGTGTGTTTATATGTATATATACACCCATATATTTATTCTCAAATGGGAGTTACAGGGAGAGCTTAAATCACTGCTTAATAACACTGCACAACAGCCAGCACTGGGCTCAGCCAAAGCTAGCAGCGCCTCCAGTCTCCTGTAATGGATGGTAAGGGCCCAGTTATTTGGGCCATCTTCCACTGCTTTTCCCAGGCTGTTAGCAGAGTTGAAGCAAAGCAGCTAACTCTGACCAACGCCCACACAGGACTCTGGCATCACGTGCAGCAGCTTTCCCGGCCACCACAGCAGTGACTGCTGGTGTGTCACAGAACGGACCAGGCACTGGGGATTTCAGAGATGGCTGGGTTGTGCTTCTGGGATTCATTGGGTTTACTGGCCAATAACGAAGTAAGACGCAAGAACTATCATACAACAAAAGTTAAGAGTTGTCTGGTGGAAAAGGAAATGTTCAAAACAAACAAAAAAATCTGCCACTTTTCCTTGCTTCTCGCTAACGCACTTGTTTCCTTTGAGGAAGGTGTTGTGTGTCTCACTCTGCAGTACCTGCATGTGTCTCATGCAGTAGCTGCTGTATGCGGTGGTTACTGGATGCCAACTCCCTTCCCCCAGCCTCCTCTGTACTTCTCGGGGTTTGCTTACATATATATTTTTATTCCTTAAAGATTTATTTATTTTTATTGGAAAGGCAGATTTACAGATAGGAGAGGCAGAGAGAGATCTTCTGTCTGCTGGTTCACCTCCCAAGTGACCACAACAGCCACAGCTGAGCCAATCTGAAGCCAGGAGCTTCCTCCAGGTCTCCCACACGGGTGCAGGGTCCCAAGACTTTGGGCCGTTCTCGACTGCTTTCCCAGACCACAAGCAGGGAGCTGGATGGGAAGCGGAGCTGCCAGGATGTGAACCGGTGCCCACATGGGATTTCAGCAGTTGCAAGGCAGGGATTTAGCCACTAGGCTATCCCACCAACCCTTGCGTACTTATTTTAGGGAATGTGTTCACAGCAGTTTCATTGTTGTGCACCTGAACTCTGTGGGGCTTCATGGGATAGCCCCAAAATTGTGGTAGACAAAAAGTTCAATGTGAAAGACCTAACAGATTGACTCAAGAATGTTGGAGGGAAAGTCTGTTGGAAATTTGGAACAAAAGTCCCTCTTCGTGACCAAAACAGAACTAACCATTGGTTAACTCTTTATTCCTTGGAGGCTTTGAAAAGCTGTTTTTAGGGGGAAAATGCCATCATCACATGAGATGGAGAAGTTAGTGTAAATGGGATTAAACAGTGGGAGAACAAGTACAGATCAAGTACAGAAACTGGGTGTGATGGCGCTGGGATTAGCATTCCCGAAGCCGGTGATGTGAGGCTGCGGGGCTGGAGGACCGCAGAGCCGTGTCACGTGCTCTGAACCTGGCCTCCTGGAGGACCTGCTTGGCAGAGCACGCTCAGGTCTGGGCAGTGGTGAGAGGCTCAGGGGACAACGTGTATAAGCTGCATCCAAACCACCAGCTCACAGGAAGAGGGCGAAAAGCGGCCATCAACGAGAAATCCACACTACATCTACAGCATTATGAATTTTTTGTCCATTGCTAACCACAGGGAGCTTTGATAGTAATTGATTTCCTGATGATGTTCAACTCTTTCATCATTGTTAAGCACAAAATGCTAGTTCTGTTCCCGTGTTACATATTCTTAAGCAGTGAAAAACTAGCACAAAGTAGTATTTCACCTTCAAATAAAGTCTGTCTTTTACTCATTTGAAGAATGGAAAAGGGAACTGAGGGCCTGGGACGGTAGCCTTGTGGCTAAAATCCTCACCTTCCATGCACTGGATCTCATATGAGTGCTGGTTCTAATCCCAGATGCCCCGCTTCCCATCCAGCTCCCTGCTTGTGGCCTGGGAAAGCAGTCAAGGACGACCCAGAGCCTTGGGACCCTGCATTCGCATGGGAGACCTGAAAGAAGTTCCTGGCTCCTGGCTTCGGATCAGCGCAGCTCTGGCCATTGTGGTCACTTGGGAGGTGAACCACACTGATGGAAAATCTTTCTCTGTCTCTCCTTCTCTCTGTAAATCTGCCTTTCCACTAAAAATAAATAAGTCTTTAAGGGGGGGAGGGGTGTAAAAATGACAAGTGGTGGACTAAAACTTGAGAGCTCGGCTTGGTCCTGTGATGTAGCGGGTAAAGTTGCTTCCTGGCATGTTGGCACCCCAGTATGGGTGCCAGTTAGTAACCCAGGTGTTCCTTGGTTTTTGTTTGTTTTAATTGGGAAGGCAGATATACAAAGAAAAGGAGAGATAGAGAGGAAGATCTTCCATCCATTGATTCACTTCTCAGGCAACCGCAACGGCTGGAGCTAAGCCAGGAGCCCGGAGCCTCCCATGGGGGTGCAGCTTCTCCCACACGGGTGCAGGGTCCAAGGCCTTGGGCTGTCCTCTACTGCTCTCCTAGGCTACAAGCAGGGAGGTGGACAGAAAGTGGGGCCTCTGGGACACAAACCAGTGCCCATAGGGGGTCCTGTCATGTTCAAGGGGAGGACTTTAGCTGCCTGGCTACCGTGCCAGCCCCAGGTATTCCATTTCTAATCCAACTCCCTGCTGATGGCCTAGGAAAAGCAGTGGGATTATGGCCCAAGTATTTGGGTTCCCGCCTCCAGAGTGGGAGATCCAGAAGCAGCTCCTGAGTCTTTGCTTCTGGCTGCCCCATCCAGAACCATTACAGCCATCTGGAAAATGAACTGAAGGATAGGAGATCTTTCTCTCTCTATCTGCTTTTCTCTGTAAATCTAACGTTCCAACAAATTTTTCTTTTATATATAAAAATTTCATAAATGAAAACCTCTGTCTGAAGGTCCGAGGGTGAGCTAGCTGAAGGATGTGCTTCTTCGTCCAAGGGAGGTCAACACTGAGCTGAGCTCGTCGTGTGGAGAAATCAAGTGAAAAGAAGTGAGATTCTCCCAACTAGGGAGGGTGGCTGAAACGCCTTCCTCATCCTTACAGGGAGTCTGACAAAGCTGTGGCCCCACGCCGTCCCCACGGACACATTCTCTGTCCGTGGAGAGCTCCCAGGGGCAGCCAGCACACCTAGCACCTACATTTTGGCTTGTACTCACCATCATTCTCTAAAAAAAAAGCCAGGGCTCCTGGGAGACATGGCTCATCCAGGGCCAGGTCAGCTTGTGGCAGGAAATGGAGGTCTTCGGACCATGATAGGGGCATGTCAGACGCAGATGCCTGCCCATTCAAGTGTGACTCCCTGTGGAACAGCTGGAACATTCATATAAGTAATGACTATCACTGTTGAATAAAATCGGAAATGTTGAAGCTTTGAGGAAGAGAGCATCTCCATAGTTGCAGAGTGTTAACCCAGAATAGAGGAGAGGCCTGGCAGGTACCAGCTCAGTGAGATAAGATAGCAAAGATGGTGCCACACACACTCAACCCGAATAGCAAGCAGCAGAACGCAGAAGGCTTTCTGTAACATTTCTGCCAGAAGCGCACAAGGCGAACCTAATGCTGAGAAGACACATCAGGAGACATTGCACAAATGAGTGACCGACAGCCTGGGCGGTGGCAAAGTTATACCAGCCGTGGAAACACTGTCGAGCTGTGTCAGTCTGAAAGAGGAAACGTGGGAGATGTGACACCTGCATCTCAGCCGGAGCCTTCTGCTAAAAATAACTGGCAGAAGTCCCCCTGGAGCATGCGCCACCCGGGGACCCTGGGATGACATCTGGTGGCCAGCCCCCATCCCCAGGTACTGGGTGCGGCTTCTCTCCTTCTCGCCTCCCTTCCCCCAGATACAGGAAGAAGAAAAATGTGGAAACAGTAATCTCATCCACTTTCCCCTAATCCCTGACCCTTCCCACCCTAAGCGGTGGTCCACATGGGCATGCATCCTTCCCGACTGTGTAAATATCAGCAAAAATCAAATTTAAAAAAATTTAAAAGCTGGCAGAGCTTGGCTAGAACTGGAGCAGTGTGATCCGTTCAGAGCCACCTGCACCATAAGGTCTGCATCCTTACATCTGATCAGTTGCAGATGAAAAAATGTGTATACTACAGTGGAACAGCAATTTGGGTAGCATTTTATACTATGGTAAAGTTAGCAAGAGGAAAGCATAGGTGTGTTTACCCCATTTTATATAGGACACGCACATCCTCATCAGGTGTTTCTGATGGGCAAGGAGCCGATCCTTCCCGGATACCAGTGGGCTACTGAATATATTGTTTTATGATCAGTAAACTTTGCTGATTCTGAGGGCTAAGATTATGTACAAAGACTTTCCAGAGCAATACTATCAGCTATTCTGGACTAATGGGACATCAGATTAACAATTCAGTCTTAGTTAATTCAAAGAAAAAAAATTCGGTTTGATGCTTTCAACTTTTCTGAAACTTTGTGATTATGTCTAAGTATCGAGCTTTATATCAAACAGGTTACCAAAAGAAGAAACATGAATCCATTCCGAATAGGGATAGCGTTCACCTGAATAATTTCTTTTCAAAGGATTGCCCTGCATGTTACCCTGGAAGCAGGAACATCTCAATGAACCTGCTGTGATGCCTTCCTCCCTCAGAATCAACCTGGGAGAAATGAGCAGCATTGGGCTGGACTGCGGGGCGGCGGGGGGAGTGTTTGTGTGTGTGTCTGTGTATCTGATTGGCTTTTTTTTTTTTTTGATGACCTCTGCAGGTAATCCATGACTTCTTATTCTCCTTGAAGGAAAGCCCTGAAAAGTTTCAGATCGAAGCTAATTTTCCCAGGCGGGTGCTGCCTTGTGTCCCTTCAGCGGAGTGGCCCAACCCCCCTACGCTGCAGGAAGCCGGACTGAGCCACACAGAAGTTCTCTTTGTTCAGGACCTGACAGATGAATGACACTTTCTTGCTCTCCCCTTACACCCCTATCCCTGAAAGAAATGGATAAAACGAAAACCGAAAACACACACACACACAAAAAAGAGATTCATATTATTATTATTATAATACAATATTTTTTTTAAAAGACTGCTGCATCCTAAGGAAGGATCAGAAACCATGCTGCCTGCGAGAGTCAAAACCTATGTGTGCACAAGGTGAGCAGTGGACGGCCCGCCAAGCCCGCCCTTCCCTCTGGCCTCTGCACCGCGAAGCTGCCAGCTGTCGGAGAGTGCACCTCCAACCCTGAGGAAGGGACGTTCCCACTCGTTCTTACTCGCTCTAACTTTTATGGAAAATAAAAATGAAAAGCCTCCCTCTGCCTGCTCCTGCAGCATCTCCTGAGGACTCGGGTCTCTGACATCCGGAGGAGAGGGGGAAGAGGAAGCGCATGGCAGGGGTCTTGTGGAACTGCCCACAATTTACGAATAACTTTCATTGGTTCTTTTGCTTTGTAATGACCAAAGGAATACGGCAAACATGGGTGTATTTTTTTCCCCCCTTAATATTTGATAAGAGCCAATTCTTAAGCCCATGCGTAGTGTAATAAAGGTGCCCTGGGTTGGTTTATGCTTCTGCCATTTGTCCCTCTCGGGGTCCCGTCCCAGAGAGGTCATTCTTTTTGGTCCAACTCTTGTGTCCTCTTGCCACCAGTGTGCCCTGATTGGAGCAGTGGGAGGAGACGTTGGTTTGTAGCGTCACAGTGGCTGCATCCATACAAAAACGTGTGTATGCTGTGAACATCTATGCACATAAGCCACACCCAACTGCAGAGTGTCCTTGGCATCTGGCCCAGGTGGTGGTTCTGGGTTCTGACCCAGAGGACAGCAGCTCTTCGTTCCTCTTCTGGCCTGTGCATGCTTTCCCCGCCTCCCCACCTCCCCCCACCCCCCCAAACCCAGAACCTTCCCGAGTGAAGCATAATGCCTTTCCAGAGGAGTCGCAAAGGAGCTAGCAGAACCACCGAAGAGTGCCCTGGCTCTGTAGAAATAGGGTCCTGGTGGCTTCTGAGGATAGCAAAAATCCAGAGGCCTTGGGTGCAGCACACAGCCCCTCGCTGTGTGAACTGCTGGAAACCACATTCCACTTTGTGATGGAGCCATCTGCTGGAAGCGTTATCCTTGCCTGCTGTGTTGAAGGAATAGGGCTATTTTTCTTAATCCTTGCTTTGTCTGTAGTTGAGTTCATGGTAATGAGTGAATGGGTCAGGCCGGGTGTTGGCTGCTGGTATGCACTGACAAGTGTTCCAAAGTGTTTCCAGGTTAGACTGCAGTAGGCTCGCAAGACTGCAACCTGCTCAAGTTAAAATGAGGACAGGGGCCTCAAGTCAAATAAAGCCTCGCTTGGTACATGGTAGTCTCCCAAAGGTTCTCTCTCTCCGCTACTGAAACCTAAGGATCGCCTGCTTAGGTGTGGTCACTTTTCTCCCTGCTGTTCTCAGGCAAACACCATGAGGCTAAGTTGTGTCACCTCCTGGGTGTTGCCTGGAAAAGCTGAGACTGTCCCAGTGGCCTTGGCACAGGTGTCCAGATTCCGTCTCTGGGAGAATCCGATCGTGTTGCTGGCTGCTCCAGCTCTCTCCTACTTTGTTCTGTGCTGTGCTAGGCCAGGTGGGAGGGAAGTTGCCATCTCACGGTGATAGAATGTTACAGTGATAGAATGTTATAGAATGTTACCCGAAGCAAACCATACAACTCCACCTAGCCTCACGGGACATCTGCCTCCCGCTAACAGCTGTGCACGGGGGAATATGCGTCAACCACGGTCTTTGGGACAGTTGTGGTCTTCCCCTGCCCTCCCCCCCCCCTTACTTCAGTGTCATCCTGTCCTGTAACGTGCACTTTATGCCTCTCGCCTTCCGATAACTTGCTCAGTGACGGAGGCCGGATGCCGGGCGAGCTCTCGTCCACCTGCAGGGTCAGCCTGCCTGTGTGCTGTGGACTTGCAGAGGCTTCACCTGCGTGGAGCACATGCCCCTTCCTGCTGCCTCGGTGTCATTTCCCTTCCTCCCGGGGACATGCGCTGCACATTCTGTCACTTTGTGACAATCTGTCGCTCCCAAGGACCTCTGGGAGAAAACATTGAGAAGCCAGCCATCTTTCCGCTTCACTTCTGGGATCTTAACAGCTGTTGTTTCCAAATGGCAAGTCCTCAACGAAACGGAACACTCCTGAGGTTGACTGTAGCCATTGGGGTGACCAAGCACAGACTCTCAGGGTCGCCTGCATCTTCACAGCCCTGGTGGGCCCTGGCGGTTTTTTTCTTCCACTCCTGCAGCATTTCTTGCAACAAATATTTATTACTCCTTGCTTGCCACCACCTTGAGATTTGGAAGAGATGGCCTTGAGGAAAATATTTTCTCTCTGAAAAGCTAAACTTCCAAGGAACTTCAATTCTTCAACCAAACAGTTATTATGAAAATCACTAATGGTGCCAAGGCCAAGGAAGCAGTTCCAGAAAATGACTAAGGTGTGCTAACATCCGGAATGCAAAAAATCGCGGGTGTGGGTGCTGGTGCCTGAGCGAGGAGCTGCACCGAACACCAGACACCTGGGTTCTTTAGGACTTGTGAGAAACGCAGCGACAGGAAATCCATCCGCAAAGGATGCAGTGCCCCGACTTGTACTGCACCTGGATAGTTACATGATAACTTCCTGAAAAAAATCTAGTGTACTTCAAATTCTTTTCATAAAAGTTTACATTGTATTGTAGGTTAACATTAAATGTTTTATAACAAAACTTTGATAAGCAGCTGCGAGTCCTTCTGTTGTGGTAGGGAGTTTTCTGTGTGTGAAGGAAAGGTTAGAAACCAGCCTTGGGCAGGGAGAGATCCAGGCGTTGAATTGTCAAAGAAGTGAGAAGAATCACCTCCCACGTTCTGGTGACCTCGGGCGGACTCTCTGACTTCCCTTGAACATCTCCAACTGTACATAAAGGCAATACCGTTTGTCTCGAGCTGGGTTTGTAGACTGCATCCTGATCCTGCCTGAAACCCAATAAATGTTCCCCTTCTCCACGGGAATGTACCGGGAGGCAGAGTTCAAGGGCAACAGACTTCAAAGGTAAGTTTACCTTGGTGCCCTAAATTTTGAGATGCTTAACATGATTTCATGACTTTTTTCCATGAGGTTTAATGAAGACTCTCTCATTTTGAAGTATATTTTCTTACAGTGGTGACTTGGGGTTTTTTGTTTTGTTTTGTTTTGTTTTTTTGAGATATTGGTCAATTGTATTGGTTTAGCCCGTGTCCTTGCAAAGAAGTGGCTGGAAAAAAGCAGCAGGTTTTGCACTGTAGGAATGTCCCCTTAGGGCTTTGCTCATATGTTGATTTGTAAGAAAGAGGAGAGTTTAGTGCCAAGTTCTCTACCTTTCTGGTCCCCACTGACCTGCTCTTCTACAAAGAGCTCTTTCCTGTCAAAGGTTCTTGCCATCCGCAGTCGGTCCTGTTGCTTACCGAGAGAACTGGGGCTTTCATGTGTTCAGTGTACACGTGAAATGCAAGCTGAACACCTGCCAGCCAGTCTAGCAACTGTACAAGAACTTACTCACCTGAGGTCAGAAGAAGCCACTGAAGGGGCTGACATTGGCACAGCCAGTGCCACCAGCCCCTGTCAACGGTGCAGGTTCCCCTCCTGCCTGCTCGGCCAATCAGCTTCCTGCGCATTTGTCCAGCGAAGCAACACATCTGCTTCTGCCACCCGCCTAGGAGACCCAGATGGAGTTTGTGGCTCCTGGCTGACTTACCTGGCCCATACCTGGTTGCAGCTGTCTGGGGAATAAGCTAGTGGGTAAAAGGCATGCTCTGCTGTCCTGCCCTGCAGTGCTAACATCACATATGCTCTAGGTCAGGTCTGAGTTGCTGCACTTTTTTTTTTTTTAAGATTTTTTCTTTTTTAAGATTTACAGAGAAAGGGCCTGGCACAGTGGCCTAGCAGCTAAAGTCCTCACCTTGAAAGCACTGGGATCCCATATGGCCACCGGTTCTAATCCCAGCAGCTCCACTTTCCATCCAGCTCCCTGCTTGTGTCCTGGGAAAGGACAGCCCAAAGCCTTGGGATGCTGCACCCGGATAGGAAACCTGGAGGAAGTTCCTGGCTCCTGGCTTCAGATTGGCACAGCATCGGCCATTGCGGCCACTTGGGGAGTGAATCATCAGACCGGAGATCTTCCTCTGTGTCTCTCCTCCTCTCTGTATATCTGACTTTATAATAAAAATTCATAACTCTTTTTAAAAATTTTATAGATAGGAGAGAAATATCTTCCATGTGCTGCTTTAGGTCCCAGACTCGTGCTGAGCTGATGAGGACCAGGAGCTTCTTTCTGATCTCCCGTGGGGGTGCAGGGTCCCACAGCTCTGTGCCGTCCTCTGCTGCCACAGCAGGGAGCTGGGTGCGCTGCCCCACTTGTGACTCAGCTCTCTGGGAAAGCAGAGGATTAGAAACAGGATTTATTGATTTGGAAATACAAGAAAAGAGATCCTCCAACTGGCCACAGCAGCCAGCTCCAAAGCCAGGAGCCAGGAGCTCTGCCTGCATCTCCCAAGGGCTTGGTAGAGACCCAAGCATTGCCTTCCCAGAAAGCAGGGTCAAGAAACAAGGAAGGGTCTGGCATGTGATAGCATCCTCTGCTTGTGACATCGGTATCCCATATGGGCACCGTCCTAACTGCTCCACTTCTGATTCCACTCCTAGCTTGTGACCTTGGGAAGGTAGCAGAGGATGAGCCAATTCTTTGAGCCCCTGCACCCACATGGTAGGTAGGCTGGAAGAAGCTCCTGGCTCCCTACTTCAGATCTGCTCAGCTCTGGACATTGTGGCCATTTGGGGGAGTGAACCAGAAGATGGAAGACCTTTCTCTGTCTCATTGTCCTTGTCAGAACAAGAAGTGAGCCGCGTCAGGCTCGGCCAAGAACCCTCTGGTGTACACAGATCTGTGACTGGGAAGTGACCTGATAAAGAGGCTTGGGGAACTCCTCTGTCAAGACACAGTCCCTGCAAGTGAGCACAAGAACTGAGGCTGGGAGCAGCCCAGGCAAGGCCAGGGTACAGTACTCATGGCGTACCTGTGGGTCAGGTCTGGGGGTGGGCCAGGCCTGTCCAGTTCATAACAGCCGCTAGCAGAGATGAGAACTAGGATGGAGTGCAGGACAGGCCAAGTGTGCCTGCAACACCAGCCACTTCACATTAGGGCCTGTACTGTGGCCTGGCTGGGCTGGGTTAGGCAGCAGCACCCATCACCATGGACTGAACCTGAGGGCAGGCCAGGCTGAGCCAGGCTGCAACACCTGCCAATGAATGCTGAAGTGAGGCAGGCTGTGCCAGACTGGGCCACTGCACCCATTAGCACGTGTGAGACCCTGGGGGAGGTGGGAGGTGAGCCCAGTAGGGGGCTGCAGGGGCTGGGAATAAGGGCAAGTCCTGTCAAGCTAGACCACAGAACCACCTGGAAAATGCAAGATCTGGGGCTGGGAGTGGACCTCGTAGAGACACTGTGGGCACCCCTCTGGCTGCAGCTCCACTGGTGAGCCTGAAAACTAGGGCTGGGGGAGCGTCTGGCTAGACAGGCAGTAGCACCTGCCAGCACAAGTGTGGGCTGCACAGTGGGGTCAGTTGGGCTAGGCTGCAGCACCCACTGATGTGTACAAAAGCGAAATAGGATGATTGGACCACTTTGCTGCACACACCGACATGTGTTGGAGCCATGGGGGTAGGCCTGATGGTAGCTCCTTGACTAGGTTGCAGTTCCTGCTGCTGTGCACGAGGGCCAAGTGCATGCTGGGTAGTGCCGGGGTGGGTCACAGCAGCCCCTGGTTGATATCTGAGATGGGGCTGAAGGCAGAACTAACTGACAACTACATCCATTAATGTGAGTGATGGACTGAGCCAGACTCTACACTGGCTCACACAGACCAGAGTCAGATCTGGGGTCACCACTGGCAAGGTTTCCTTGGGGGACTCTTCCAACTAGACCACTGGACTCAGAAATCCAACCACAGAGTTTAGTGTGAGGATGGGCCTCCTCAGTTGCTGCTGCCTGTGACATGCGCAGATGCATATGGGGGCCATGACAGCTCACTGAGGCCTGCAGAGGACAGCTAGTACCTTGGCAGAGGACGGAGGGCGGGACACAACGGACAGAGCTCTTGGCCGAGCTTCGACAGCAAGTATCTGGGTACATGGAGACTCTAGGGTGGACTATGTCGGCCAATGGACCTTGGAAGGATTTCCTCATCCTTGGAGCAACAAAACCAGAGAACTACTGAAACCACTTAGCAAGTATCCCCAGAGCTTGCTCCACACTGGGGAGCCTGGGATGACACTGAGTGGCTGTCCCCTATCCCTGGGTACTGATGTAGTTAGGATGCTGGGAGCAGCCCTCTCCTTCTCTCCATCCTCTCCCCAGATACGGGAAGAAGAAAGAGAAATTGTAAGCAATTGTCTCATCCACTTTCCTCTATTCTTCAAGCCTTCCCACCCTAGTCAGACGCCACATGGACATGCATCCTCAACTACGTAAACGGGGGGGGGGGGGGCAGTCCCTATTCCCATGGATTCAGAGGCAAGACAGAAACACTTGCCGTTCTCACCTTTGATTCACTCCATTCTCAAATATGCCCTTTATGCATCTGGGATCTTTTCACCTTTTAAAGAATGGGAATTTGGAAAAACAAAATGAGCAAACCCTATTAGACACCACTGGATACTTCCTGCAACATACTTAAGGGATCACCCGATTGATCTTGTCCCCTCATCTGCAGATATCAAGACCGACATTGTTCGATCAAGGCTTTGTTTGGTGGCACCAGACACAAGGGCCGTGGTACTAAGCGAGCTGCAGCCAATGTTCCCGCAGGTGCAGTCACAAAGGCGAGAGGACTGCATCCCTGTTTCCCACTGGGTTTGAGTCACCTCCAGGAAGTATTGGAGGTGTCCATGGGTGAAGATGGGATATGTAACACAGGCCCTGCTAATGGCCCATTCTAGTGCCAAGAGTAGCAAATGATTCAGATAAACCATCGAACCAAAGTTACCTTTACAAGGCTTAATCCCAGAAATATTGATGGAATTCTTGGGAAAAGTGGTTTTTCTCAAGGTGACACTGAATTAAGAAAATGAAGCTGCCTGCACAGAGAGCTCATGAGAACCATGGCCCAGCAGTGTGGCATGGCATGATACGCCACAACCTGTTACACTGGCTCCTGTGCACCAAGTTCAAGTCCTCCCTGCTTACCTCCAACCCCGCCTCCTCCTGATGCACTGGGAAGGCAGTGTGTGATGGCTCAAACATGTGGATCCCTGTCACCCCTGTAGGGAACCCAGACTCCTGACCCAACCTCAGCTGTGGCAAGCATCTGAAGAGTGAACCAGCATTTTCAAGTTCTCTGCTTTTTCTTCCAAATATTTAGTGGGAACGGGCGGCAACGGGACTAGGCCATAAGAAAGCAAACCCTTGAGTCCTTTTGACAGATCTGACCCCCAATGTAGCCAGAACCTACATTGAAAGTTCCCTAGCGGCTAAAGTCCTCTCCTTGAACGCGCCAGGATCCCATATGGGCGCTGGTTCTAATCCCGGCAGCCCTGCTTCCCATCCAGCTCCCTGCTTGTGGCCTGGGAAAGCAGTCAAGGATAGCCCAAAGCCTTGGGACCCTGCACCTGTGTGGGAGACCTGGAGGAAGTTCCTGGCTCCTGGCTTCGGATAGGCATAGCACCGGCCGTTGCACTCACTTGGGGAGTGAATCATCGGATGGAAGATCTTCCTCTTTGTCTCTCCTCTATATATCTGCCTTTCCAATAAAAATAAAATCAATCTAAAAAAAAAAAAAAAAAGATTCCTCCATCCGCTGACTCACTCCAAGTGGCTACAACATGCACAGCTGAGTGGAGCTGGAGCCTCTCCTGGGTCTCCCACATGGGTACAGGGTCCCAAGGCTTTGGGCCATCCTCGACTGCTTTCCCAGGCCACAAGCAGGAAGCTGGATGGGAAGTGGAACAGCTGGGACATGAACTGGTGCCCATATGGGATGCGGGTGTGTGCAAGGTGAGCCATTGCACTGGGCCCCCAGAACCCACATTTCAGGACTCTGGTAAGCGATGCTGCTGCCTCCTGCAAACAGCCTGAGGGAATCCAGCCCAGGCTCCATAGCTGACGACACTTCTCCCTGCCCTCCGCTTCCCACCGAAGAAACACATGTAGCCAACGGCAGCTTGAGCCATACATCATACATTTATTAGTGAATATCCCTCTGAAATCAGCAACAATATTAAAAAAAATAATGATTGCACTACTTGGTCAAGCAGAACTAGCAACTTTCATTTTAAAAAAAGTACAAATCTGTTAAAAATTTCAATCAGTATACACATATATATAATACAACATACTAGTTATGTTAAATGCTACAAACCAATGTGACTCCAATGGAATGGAAAAAAAAACCACACGTTTAAGCTTTAAGAACCATTTTTTTTCTCTATATATTAGCATTTTCTCAAATACATACATGGGAAAAATGAGGTAACTGTAAAATGTGCAAGGAAAAGGCCCCCCCAAATTACATATATCTTTATATCTCTATATGTAATTATAGAAAACCTTTCTAACACGGAACACAGGCGCTGCGCCCAGCCGGGGCTGGGGGAGGGGCCCGCGGTCATGCCTAGGCCAGCAGTTGGTAAATGATTGAGTAAACAGTGACAAGCCCCCGCCACAGGAAATCATTGGTAATACGGCATCTAGAGCAAGGTTGGCAAATCACAAACATCCTAAATCATTGTTTCAGAAATAGTTTTTTAATGACTTTTTTGTTTGTTTAAATGTTGTTCCTACCCCTTGCCCTCTCCCAGCAGTTGCTGACTGGAGTCCCCAAGGTGGCGACACACACCCACACACCCACACACCCACACACACACACACCAGCCATGAGCCTGTCTCCACTTGCCCCAGGAACCGGAAGGGCTTGGAAAACCTCTTGGTGGGGTGGGGCCAGGAGGGGAGCCAGAGGGGGGGCTGTGGTCTGTGTAAAACACTGCTATAAATATAGAAACATCACCTGGAGTTATATACACTAAGACTTTGGGTTCTCCGTGGGGGTGGGGCCGGGCTGCCAGGCCTTGTGGCAGGCTGGGAGCCGGGATGGGGAGGGGGCGGACAGAGAGCCAGGGCCGCTGCAGGGAGAACGAGGGTGGTTGGAGCATCCCTGAGGCAGCAGGTGCCGGGGGGGGGGGGATCACCTGCTAGGATGTGCCGGCCCCACACGCAGTTCGTTCTGGGGGGTGGGGGGGTGGGCAGCAACCCCAGCTACAGGTAGGGAAGGAAAGGAATGGGGGGGTTAGGCAAGGAGGGGTGGGGAGCTCAGCCAGACCCCCACACTCCCTGCTTTCCCTCCCTCCCATAACTCCCGGGCATTCCCAAAAAGAGACTGGCCCAGGCAGGTGTGAGATGGGCCCTGGCTGGCTGAAGGGGGAAATGCCCTGAAAAGCGAGGGTCCCAGGAGGCCCTAGGGACATGTGCAGTGCAGTGCATGGCAGTATCAGCTGAGCACAGACCCCCGGCCCTGCCCCCCGCCCCCCACCAGCCGCACACGTGCATGCAGACCGGGGCAGCTTGCTCCTGGGTTGGTCCCTGTAGCCCGCCCTCCCCCATAAAACAAAGGAAAAAATATATATATATATAGATAGGTCTGAAATACCACAACCCCTAAATCCTACACGTGATTTTTGGGCCAAATGAATAAACAAAAAACTGCAGCTCCTCACAGTCATGCAAAACAGAGAGGGGACATCAGGCACGGCCTCGCTGCCAGGAGGGGCACCCCAGGATCGCAGGAGTGCGCTCTGCCCAGCCCAGGTCCTGTTGGGATACAGGGACCCTGCCTGGAAGCATCCTCCAGCCCAGAGGTGGGGCTAGATCACTGTGCAGGGGGTGCAGGCCCCCTTCACCAGCCACACCCACAGCAGCCTGTTACGGGGTGGGCTGCCCAAGGCCGCTTGGGGTCGAGGGTTGGCAAATTCAGTACTACCCAGGGCTCGGGAAATGGCCTGCTGCCAAGGCCTTCCCACAGCCTGGGCAGTGCCATAGTCAGTGGTCAGTGCAAGAAACCACGTGCCCCAGGTTGGTGCCCCCTCTGTCCACCCTGGGGCCAAGGATTTCTTCCTTCCCAGACGCCCCTGCCTCGCCACCCCTACCCCAACCCCCAGGGCCAGTAGGATCCCCCCAGCGCTCTGGGGAGGGGTCCCTTAGGGCAGCTCCGCAGGGTGTGGGCGGCCAGGCAGAGCGGGGAGGAGTCTTTGGAGCTTGGCAAATGCAGGGCTTATTGCAGGGGCTTCTTGTGGGGCAGACCCTGGCACCAGCGCTGGAGATGCAGGTAGGGGTGCGAGCAGGGGGGAGGGCGATGGGGCAGGCTTCTGCCAACTCCCCTCTTGGGTCCTCCCCCACGCCCTCCCCCGAGTTTCCAAGGCTTCAGGCAGGGTTCTCCTGGGCAGCCGTGGGGCCTCACTCGGCTTCCCGGGGCACCTCGGAGGCATCAGCCCGGCAGATGGGACACGTCCGGTTGGCCTGGGGGCGGGGGTGGGAGAGCAGGGGGTGCATGAGTCTCGGAGCTCACCTGTGTCTGCTGGGCTGCCTGGGAGGCTGGGGGTTCCTTGGTCCCTGCACCCTTGAGATGTGCTCTCTCCCCATCGCACAGGAAACCCCAGGGGGGCCCGGGGGTGGTGGAGGTGTAAGCGTAGCTGTACCTTTAACCATTTGTCGACACACTTGGTGTGGAACTCGTGGTTGCAGGGTAGGACACGGAGCAGCTGCCGGGCCTCAAAGTCACTGAAGCAGACCACGCACCTGGGCGGGAAGGGCACAGCAGCGCTGCTGAGCGGGGGGAGAAGGCAGCCCGGTGAGGCGCGGGGGGGCATGGGGCGGGGCAGCCACTCACAGCGTCTGCTCAGACTGATGGCTATCGGGGTTGAAGCGGTAGGAAGGGAGCTGCTCGATGTCGGCTTTGGTGAGGCCGCGGGGCTTGGCATCGCCCAGGCGCTCGGCCAGGTTCAGGAGGGCCTGCACGTGGGCAGGAGGAGGGGGCGGGTCAGCGGCGCACACAGGGGTGCTCCCCAATGCCACCCTCTCCAGCACGGGCCCCCGTGGGACCTCATAGTTCTCCATCTCGACATCGTCCACGTCCAGGTCCAGGCTGATGGAGGGGCCCATGGCTGTGGGCGACATTGGCAGCATCGAGCTAGACAGAAAGACAGGCGCCGGGTGGCGGGATCAGAGGGCAGCGAAGGCAGGAAGGTGGTGCACAGGTGCTCCCAGGTTTCCCTCCAAGCAAACACAGCCCAGTTCTGGCTAGGGACTACCCTTCGGCCCCCTGCCGTGTGTCTAGGTATTAAGGGTTGAGTTTGGGTCTGCCCACAGGGCATCCTGTGCTGGTACTTACAGGAAGTAGGGCAGGAAGCTGGGGTAGTAAGGCGGTGGGGGCGGGGGCGGAGGGGGCGGGGGCAGCGGCTGTTGCAGGCGGTATCTCTGGGTGCCCAGCCTCCGAGGCATCATGTGGGAGTAGGGCTGCGAGAAGAGGGCCGGGAGGGGGGGGTCAAGCCCTGCTCCTCCCAGGGCCCTACAGCCCGGGCTGGGGCGTCGGGGTGGGCACTCACCACGCCGAAGGACAGCTCCTGGTGCAGCGGGTCATGGGGCAGGTAGTGCAGAGGCACGGAGGGGGACAGGGTCGGGCCAGGGGCGGAGGTGGAGTAGGTGAAGCTCCCCAGGGGATGTTGGTCCCCGCGCAGGTCCACGTCGCTGTCGAGCCGCTGTAGGGGCTGAGCAGGTGTGGCATGGGGTGTCAGCCATAGTCGGTGCTGAGAGAAGCCTCCCACACTGATCCCTGGACTCACCAGACGCGGGTGCTGGGTCTGCAGTGACACAAACTGCCCCAGCGGCGCCAGGTGGGCGGGCTGGGGGGGCGGGGCCGGCGGTGGCGGCGGGTGCAGGATGTAGTGGTCACTGGAGATGAGGTGGGGGTAGGCCTGGTAGGGCACAGGGACCTGCTGCATAGTGCATGCCTGGATCAGCTGCTGAGAGAGGGAGGTGGCGCTGGCCAAGGCCCCTCTGGGCTCGGGGCCGGACGGCAAGGCACCCAGGCCCAGCTGCTGACCCAGGGGCTGGTGCCGGGGAGGCCCTGCCCTCAGCCACCAAGGGGGAAACAGACTAGTGTGGGCCCATAGCTTCTGCTCCAGCAAGTGCAAAGCGACGAGGGACTCTGAGCAGGCCCCCTGCGCCTGGGGAGGGGGAGCGCACACCCTCAGCACTCACAGGGGGCGGGAGGCAGCAGAGAGGGTAGTGCTGCCCGCTGAACATCACGGAGCATGCTGGGAGCTGCTGGGCGCTGCAGCCAGGGATGTGGTGGCCTGCAGGCAGTGGGAGGCCTTGGGTCGTCACGGTGGTGACCGTGTAGGACAGAGGGACAGGTCCCTGATGCACCTGTGGGAAGGAAGCCTGGACATAAGGCCTCAGTTTACCCACCAGGAAGAAGCAGGGGCGAGTTCCACTTGCCTTCACCCAGCAGAGAGCAGGGCAGGCACTCTGCCCGTGTGCCCCTCTGGGACAGCTGCCGGGCTGGGGCCACACCGCACTCACCTGCTCGTGGAGATCCACCATGAACGGGCTCTGCTGGGTGGCCGGGTGCAGCATTCGGGGGCTCCCGCCGGCAGGAGCCGAGGCTCGGTGCTCCTCTACGGGGCGGTGTGGCGGCCGGGGCAGTGGCTGCTGGGAGGGGAAGCGCTCATCCTGGGCAAGCGGGCTGGCCAGGCGGCCCTGGTGGCCGGGGCTGCACCACAGAGAGGAGGCCCTGGTAGGACTGAGGGGGTGCCACTCATCACAGAGCAGGGAGAGAAAACCAGGGGACACAGCCCTGCCCGCGGGGGGGGCGGGGTGGAGTGGGTAGCTCAGGGATCTTCCCTCCTACCTTCCCCAGAGCTGGCCTGCAGTGCTGCCGGGTCCAGCAGAGATGCGTCGTGGAGCCACGGGGGCAGACGGGGGCCACCTAGTTGCTGCCAGAGCCCATGGTCGCATCAGAGGGATATGGGGGTGGAGGGGCTGGGCCAGGGCTCACAACCCTAGGAGGCAAGAAAGGGGGAAACTGAGGCACGGCAAGCCTCCCCCCTTCTCTGGCCTGTGGTGTGAAGAGGCAGAGCCCCTGTGCACGCTGGGGCAGACGGAGCAGGGGCAGCCTCTGTAGGACTCAGCTGCCTGCTCGCTGGGATGGGATGAGTCTGAGGCCTGGCCAACAGCACCTGGGCCAGCTGGTTCCCACCTCAAGTGAGCCCACCTCACCCTGGGAGCTGTCCCTGGGGCTCCAGCTTCCCTACTCCAACCCCCTGGGTTGTCTTGGGCCTGGGCCTGAGCCTGGCTCCCTTAGCAGAAGGGTCTAACTTGGTTCCTGCCTCGGTGCTTTCCGCCACAAAGCGAGAGTCACACCATCTTTTTCATTAGTGCCCACCCTCCTGTGACTTCATCCAGCCTTCAAGAAGGCCTGGTGGGCCCATTTCACAGAAGTGAAAGTGGAGGCCAAGAAGAGGCTGTCAAGGGCAGCAGGGGGGCTGTCAGCCTTCTCTCCCTGCTATGGTAGCAGTCACGGCGGGTGCCCTGGCCCAGGCCTTCCCAGGAGAAGGTGAAGGCAGGTGGGAGGCTAGCTTCCCTGTGCAGCCAGAGTCCCCAGAGTGGCAGGTGGGAGAAGAAAGGGAAGCAAGAACCCAAGACAGGAAGTGGAGCAGCAGCAGGCTGGGCCCCCCACCCGGGTGGGGGGATGGCAGGGCGAGCGGGAGAGGAGACCTGGTTCAGCTCCAGGTGTCTCCACTAACTCCTAAGACGGGGCACGGAAAACTCAGGAAGCTGTCAGGCCCTAGGTAAAGCTGAGAGGAGATGAGCGGGCCCAGTCCTAGGCTGCTCCTGCCCCCGCCCCCCTTGTCCATCTCACAAAGCCCCAGGGCATCCTGAAGTGGCACAGCCAGGGAGGCCAGAGGGCTCAGAGGGAGCCCAGGCAAGGGGCAGCTGAGCACCTTCCTCCAGGCTTAGTCACTAGGAACTGTTTCCACTCCTCTCCGCTTTCTAGAACAGCGCCGGGCCAGGCCGCAGCCCACACTCCCCCCACACCACCTCCTTGCTCCGTGTGTAGCAGAGCCCAGGTGCCCAGGCCACTTCTGGCAGCAGAGCTGACGGGTAGATCATGAGGGGTTTACAAAGAGAAGGGGGGAAAAAATACCAAACCAAACCAAACCAAAAAGCCCTGCAGCCTTTTGTGGGAGGGGAAACAGACGGTGAGTCCTGTCCTGCCGGGCAGGTGCTGCCCATGGTGGGTTTTCTTGCCCCTCTCTGGCCGCCCACCACGGGGGACTCCGGGCTAAGGAGCGGGGGCCAAGCATGCATCCTTACACATGCAGCCTCCTGACCCCAGCCCATACCTCAGCCAAGCAGAACAGGGGCCAAGGGAGACCTGGGAGAGATCCCCATGCCACAGGACCGCCAGCCCACGCCTGCCCCTTCTGCATCAGGATCTTTGGAGAGGTGCAGGGAGAGAGCAAAGTCAGAGATTTTTCTCCTTATCTCCCAGTGGTCTCTAAGGCACGGCCAGGTCCGGGACCCTCTGCTGCAGCTCAGAGGTGCCTGGGGAGCCCCAGATGGCCTGAGAGAGAAAACCAGAGCAAAGACAGGCCCCACATCCTTAGGCCATGTATAACAGTGGACCCTGCAGCCTCGGGGCAAAAGGAGCCCAGTGTGTCCGAGAGGTTCACAGCCAGCCAGCTAGAAGCACGCTGGCCCCCTCTCCCCTGCACTCTGACCCAGCGTGCTGGCGTCCCACTCAGGCACCAGTTCCAGTCCTGGCTGTTGTACTTCCCATCCAGCTCCCTGATCACAGCCTGAGAAAGCAGGGAAAGATGGTCCAGCCTCGGGCCCCAGCACCCACATGGGAGACCAGGAAAAGCCTCTTGGCTCCTGGCTTCAGACTGGTCCAGCTCTGGCTGTTGGGGTTATTTGGGGAGTGAACCAGCAGATGGAAGAGCTCTCTTGCTCTCTCCCACGCTCTCCCTAAAACTCGGGCTCTCAGGTAGAATAAATAAATCCTAAATAGATAAACTGACCATACAGAGACCCCAAGAACAGCTACGGAGCCAATGCCAGGTTCAGGTCCCCTGTGCAGCAGCTTCACCACCACCACCTCCCAGGGCACAGGCAAGGTCTGCCCCCAACCCCTCCAGGCCAAGTGCAAGCGGGTCAAGGGAAGGAGCTGCGTGGGCTTGGAAACGCAGGGTGGGCGGTGGCAGACAGGACACACCCACTTCACAGCGGAGACAATTGAGGCCCAAAGCCCAGGTTCAGCTTTCCTCACCTTCCAGCTCCCCCGCTGGCCTCCCGGCTCAGGCCAGGAAGGAAGGAAGTACGGAAGTATTTCCCACCACCCACCTCCTCAAGGTCAAACAGCAAGAGTGCCCTGGTGGCCCCCTCCCTACTTGCTCACACCTGTGTGCTGCCTTGCGCCCCTAACCAAGTTCAACCTCGCCCGGGTAGGCGCTGCCCTGGGCCCCACAGGAGGAAGAGACACGCCCTCTCCCAGGGAAAGGGCAGCACCCCCTTTCCCCTAGGCGAAGCTCCCCAGTGTGGGTATCCCGACTCCCACCAAGTCCTCGGTCAACCAGACTCCCGGGGTGACCTTGGCCAAGGAAATGCCTTCCCTGTGCTGAACCTCAGCTGCCACCTCCGTACATGGGGGTGCCGAGGTTTCGTCCCAAATAAAGCCAGAAGAGAACCCAGATGGTCCCGTTAGTGGGGGAGGGAACCGCAGCATTCCCGCGGGGCACAGCCTCGGGTGGTGCTAGTGGTGGGGAGAGCTTCCGCAGGCACCAGGCCCGGGCATGGGGGGGCCCCCAGGGGTGCCTCCTTCCTCGAGCCCCTGCGCCCCACTAGGGGTGCCTCCTTTGCACCCCTGCGCCCCACTAGGGGTACCTCCTTTGCACCCCTGCGCCCCACTAGGGGTGCCTCCTTCCTCGAGCCCCTGCGCCCCACTAGGGGTACCTCCTTTGCACCCCTGCGCCCCACCGGGGGTGCCTCCTCCCTCGCGCCCCTGCGCCCCACTCCCGCCTCTGGGAGCTGCCGGGGCGGGAGGCCAGCCTGCAGCGCCCGGGCCGGAGCGCTGTGACTTTAAGAGCCGAGGCTCCCGGACCATGTGCGCGGCGTGAGACAAAAGCAACAACAAAGGAAGTGGCGGCCGCAGGGGGAGGGGGCGGCTCCCTCCTCGCCAACCGCAGCTCAGCCCTCGGGACAGGGGAGCCCCGCAACCCGGGCTTGGGGGTGCGCGGGGACCCCTCCCAGTCCGGGCATCCTCGGATTAACTCCTGCGCAGCCAGTGGGGTCACGGGTGCCGTCCCAGCACGGGAGGAGGGAAAACAGGACTTTGAGGGGTGCGCGACTGGGGGGACCCGGGGGCGCCGGCTCGGACTCACCTCGGGCCGCACGATGCCTCCTTTGTTCCCCCGTCTGGGATGGCCAGGCCGGGCCGAGGGGGAACAATGCGCTCCCCACCCACCCCCTGTCCGGGGGCAGCCCGGCGCCTTCCGGGGCCCTCGCTCTTTGTTGTGTCCGCCCGGCGAGGCCCGCGCGCGGCCCAGCTCCTCCTCGGCGCAGGACGCCGCTGGCCCTTTAAGAACTGTCCGCCGCGGCCGGGGAATGGAACGAATCCCACGTTTGATTCACAACATTCGGCGCGGCGGGGGCGCGCGCGCGCGCGGGGCCGGCGGGGAAACTCGCGGGAGCGCGCCCGCCGGAGCTCCGCCCCACGCGCGCGCCGCCAGCCAATCACATCCCGCAGCGGGGCACGTGACTCGAGCGCCGCCATCTTGACCACACAGAAAAAAAAAAATTTAAACCTCCTCCTCCTCGCCCCCACCTTCGCGCTTAAAGGGACCGCAGCCCTCGTGCAGGCGAGGGGCGGGGCCAGGCGCGCCGACAAAGATGGGGACCCCAGGGTGGGAAGGAGGCCTCGGCCGCGGCTCCCTGCTGGCCCCGCACACGCGCCTCTCCCGCCGGCCGAGCCGCAGCCCGCCCGGACTTACTGTGTCATGGTCCCCCCTCCTGGGGGCCGGACGCGGCGAGCCTGACTTCCGCAGCCGGCCCCGGCGCTGGCCGCTGACCCTGCGAGCCCGGGCCCCCGGCAGGCGTCCTGGGATGACGTCACCGCCCCGAGCCGCGGCCGCACGATGACCTCACGGCCCGCCTGCCCCACATCTCCTTGTTTATAACACGCGGCGTCTTTAAGGAGCCGTGATGGCCGGCGGCCTATGCAAACGAGCTCGCGCCTGCCGCGCCGCGGGATTGGCTCCGGGCGCGCTGACGTCACAGACCCGCGCGGGGGCGGGGCCCGGCCGGAGTCGGGGTGCGGGGCCGAGGCCGGGGCCGGTGCTGGGGTGTGGGCCCCACGTGGGCCGGCAGCCGGACCCTGCGGGGCTGGGGCAAGCCTCGTAAAGAGTGGGCAGTGCATCCGTGTCATTAACCCCGGGCTCCTTGTTGCAGCCACCAAGCACTCAGCAAAGTGACAGGGCATTATGTGAACGTCGCTTAGGTCTGCATGGGGTGGGGAGCTGTTTCTGGAGCCACTTTCTCTATCCCAGATGTCAGGGTGCAAACCGAGAGGCAGGAGTGTGGCCCAGGATAAAGCCCCTTGCTCAGGCGCCCACATTCCATATCAGGGTGCTGGGTTGGAGTCCCAGAGCCACTGCAGCTTCCTGTTAGTCTGCACCCTGGGACTCCAGGGGCTGATGGCTCAGGCACTCAGCTGAGTTCAGATCTGGCTTTCTCCCGCCCAGGCCTGGCTGTGGTGTTGGGGGGAGTGAACCAGCAGATGGAAGAGCATGTCTGTCTGCCTTTAAAAACGGAAACCAAGTTGCGGAAGGGTTGCAAGGTGTAACAGTAGCCGGGTCCAGGAGTGGAGGGGGGAACTTGGGGATCTGTCTTAGCAACTCCTTGCCATAGTAGAGCCAAACCACAGATATCACCACTTGCATGGAACAGGCAGGTGGGTTAACACGGCACCCACGGCGATGCTTCTCTTTCCTCACCTCCTGTGTCTCCGTCAACCTCTAAAGAGGGGTCAAACTTGACCAAAAACATGCATGATGACAAAAACTATACATGGATCTCACCAACTTGTACCAAACACACCATCGAATCCTAGCGTTCCCTGAAATGCCCCGTGTTTGCCATCCTGTAAAAGCAGCTACAAGTCTGTCCACACAGCAGAAGCTTCTTGCACTGAAGAGACCACACACACACACACACACACACACACACACACACACACACACACACGCGCGCCTCTGGCAGTGGGTCCCTGCAGCCAAGCAAGCCCACTGCCCAGTGCCACTCTGGCCCCCTAAGCAAGCTCTCCCCGTCCACAGCTGTGGGGCTCAGCACCTTCCCAGCACCCCTTGCACAGTCAGGTGGGACCCCCTCGGCCTTTGCCCCCACTGCCGCCCTCTCCTCGCTCCCCAGCCACTCCTACTGTGCCATCTCACCTCTTTTAGGAAGCTGTGATGTCTCCAGCTTGCATCCAACTTCTCCACCTCTGAACACAGGGCCAGGTGCACCCTCCCACCCCCTCCCCAGCTTCACCTCATACTATTTCATGTGCCCACAGCTCTGTCACAATCACAGTTTCACTCAACAATCCCCTCCCGCTGTTAGGGACCCAAGGCCTGGCCTTCCCAGAAGTCAGCCATCTGAGGGGTAACCCAGGCTCATGGCTCAGAGGAGGATCTCAGGTTCAAGGCCCTGGAGCCGGAACACCTCAGCCCTTGCCACCACCACCAGCAAGAAACCTGCAGCCTCAACCCACCAGCGCAGTACCAGCCCAGCTGTGTTAACTGTGCCCGCCGCAACCCTCCCTACTCACCGCTGCCTAGATCAGGACGGGCCCAGCAGATCAGAAGCTGGCTCCCTGTGTCCTAAACAGGCTCTTGTGTGAATGCCCAAGGGCGGGCTCTGGGTTTGTCCCTGACCCTCCGGGAGGCCCGGAAATCCCAGCTCTGCATGGCCCACTGGCCTGGGGCTGACCCTAGGAAGCCCCTCTAGTAAATCCCCAGTCTCTGGGGGACTCCTCCCCAGGGCTTCGAGGCCAGGTGCACAAGCCAGCCTAGACACAGCCAAAAATAAACAAACAAAAAGTCACAGCTCTGATGGCTGGGGAGGGACAGGACACAATGTTGCCAGATTTCCTAATTTGTCAAGAGGTGGCAGAAATGTGATTTTTTTTTTTTCTGTAAAATCCTGTGCGTTGGGACCCCCGTGTGGGAAGTGGAGATGCTGGCTCTTATCACACCCATGGCCTCCTCGACAGGCAGGCACCGTTCGCTTGCATTTGACAGAAAATGGTTCTGAGCCTGGCAGTGAATCCCCTCCCTGCAGAAGCCGTGCGAGCGTGCACGGTGGGCTTGTCTGCAGACCGACCGCAGGCAGGGAAGGGGCTCTGCAGGTCCCACCGCGAAGTCTGCCCCACTCGGAGGGTGAGGAGACCCAGGTGAAAAGCAATGCCAACACCACCCAATGGCGCCCAGAGAAGGGGGCCAGCCTGCCACCTCAGTTTGGTTCTTACCACGCCAACCACCTGCCACTCCCCCCTTAGAGAGGCTGCTCAGGCATCTAAACACAGGTGCCTGCCCCCTCCCCACTGCAAGCAGAAACCCGGGAGGCTCGGGTCTGCTGGGGAGCCTTTCCAGGGAGGAGCCGGTCGTTCCCCAAACAAGGGATCCCACATTCCAGAATCTACACCCCCTTCGTAAATGGGAGGGCCTAGGACAGGCCCCAGCAGGAAGAGGAGGGTGTGGTCACCGCTTCCTGCTGGGGCCCAGCCCAGCCAGGGTTCCTGCCTGCCTG